TAAACAGTGATGGTCAGCATCCAATGTTGAATGATGATTGCTGTGGTTAATAATTTTGGGGAATTATTTACCACTACAAGTTCATCAAAGGTGATGCAGCTTTTGTTACAGGCTTACTTTCTCACTGTGAAACAAGCCAGTCTTACAGCGATTCATAGATATGTCAAATGGGCTATCGCCTGCCCTACAAATGGTGTATCAGCTGTAAAAACAGTTCCACATTTTCTATATCACTTGACGTCTGATTTCAGTGTGTTTTTGAGAACAAACAAACCAAGATTCTATAGCTCAACAAATATGCCAACGAAGATGGAGATGGATCGGATGCACGCTATAGAGACCGTTGGGTAACTTCACACTCCAAGCATTTAACTGGAACCCGAATGGTAAACGACAGATAAAAAATTAGGCTAATGTTTTCTGTTCAATGAGTTGGAATGCATACACGAACAACTGAACTTAACCCGAGAGGAATGACATCCTCTGGTTTTAATTTGCTAACTGTCACGCTGAAGTTTGGTCCTTTCTCAAGTAATTTTGTGGTGGGAGCTGTCTGCCAGCCAAAATTGTAAACAACAACTGACGTCCATGTTTATGACTTGAATCGGGGTCATGAAAAAAAACAAGAACAAAGACTAACCTTGAGGAACTCAACAACCAGTCACAGCAGACTTAGCGTGGGTGGATACGATTCGCAGATATATCACCGGACTGTTTAAGAAACAGCAACAAAGCGATGACAAAATAACATTCAGCAGGAAAACAACCAATCAGAAGACGTTGCTTCTCTGCTAACAGTAACGAATAATAACATACATAAAATATACAAATATCTGTTGATTGTCTCAATACAAGATCTGTTGTCTGGCCCTTGTCTTCTGCAGTTACACTTTTATCTCACTAGAGCTTAGTTCCCTTGATGAGAGGTTGATCACCCATCTCGTTCTGTCAATAGAGGATGAAACGTTGGTGTCAAATTTTCCTTTTATTGTGTCCTTCTCTTCTATTAGTTTGTTGAATTTTTTAATTTATGTGGTTTTTGATTTTCTTAATGCTGATTCTCTAACTTTTTTGGATGTTTCAACAGCAATTACATAATCTTTGTTATTGACCATACATTTGAGTTTGTGTTTGAGTTTTTCAATTTCATTTCGTACATTATTTAGTTTCACAGTAATTAGATGTAGTTCTTTTCTGAGACATAATCTACTGACATGTTTGGCTGCTGATGTTATTTTTCTTGAAGCAATTGCAGTATGTAGGCGTCAATATTTGGGAATTATATGATGTTTTAAACATCGACTGTTTAAAATCCGATGGTTTGTGAATCTTGCTTCTGCTTGACAAAGTCGTGTGAGTATATTGATAAGCTTCCTAGTAGGAAGACCATATGTATCATTGATATAAGAATAGAACTTGTGCACTGTGGTAGAGTATAATTACATTATGGGTAAAATTTACTCTTACGTACTGCAATTACTTCAAGAAAAATAACATCAGCAGCCAAACATGTCAGTAGATTATGTCTCAGAAAAGAACTACATCTAATTACTGTGAAACTAAATAATGTACGAAATGAAATTGAAAAACTCAAACACAAACTCAAATGTATGGTCAATGACAAAGATTATGTAATTGCTGTTGAAACATCCAAAAAAGCTAGAGAATCAGCATTAAGAAAATCAAAAACCATATAAATTAAAAAATTCAACAAACTAATGGAAGAGAAGGACACAATGAAAGGAAAATTTGACACCAACGTTTCATCCTCTATTGACAGAACGAGATGGGTGATCAACCTCTCATCAAGGGAACTAAGCTCTAGTGAGATAGAAGTACTTGAGAAAGGACCAGACTTCAACTTAACAGTTAATAAATTAAAACCAGAGGATGTCATTCCTAACATAGAAGTGGTATTAAGTTAAACAGATTAGATGATGGTAGAAGAGGTTCGAGCACAATGTGCGTTATCCCTGAAAAATCAAAAGAAAGCAAAATCAAACTTAACAAAATCGGAAAGATTAGCTATAATTAGTCTAAAACAGGATAAAAACATCGTCATCACAAAAGCTGATAAAGGAAACTTTACAGTAGTTTTGGACAAATCTGATTATACAAAGAAAGTCACTGAACACATTGAAACGGGTCCATATGAGGAAATTAGGAAGTCTGTAGATACATTAATGAATAAGATTAAGAAATCTCCTCGGATTTAATACCCAGAATGAAGCCGTCACTGGGTGAGTCTAAATGGCTTTATTTAATGCCCAAAACTAATAAAGCTAGTAGAATATTTGGAACTATTAAAATACATAAGCCAGGTTAACCCATACGACGAATAATAGATTTCAGGAATACCCCTATTTATAAATTATCAAAACACTTAGCTCTAATATTATGTCCCATTAGAAATCGTTCAAAATCTAGACTAACTAATTCATATGAGATGAAAAGGAAACTAAATGACATTCAACTAGAGAATGATGAAACAATGGTTAGTTTTGATATAACTAGTCTTTACACTAATATACCAATCAATATATCCTTAGAAGCAGTTAAAAAAGAACTAACTGCAGATCCTGAACTTACTCATAGGACGAAGCTGCCCATTTAAAAAAATATTTTAGGAATTCAGTTATGCCTCACATCTACTATCTTTAAATTCCAGGACAAAATATATAGAGAAACAGAAGGTGTAGCAATGGGATCACCAATATCCCCTATCGTAGCGGACATATTTATGGATAGTTAGGAAAATATTGCTCCAAATACATTTAGTCCTACTCCAAAAATATGGTGGAGATATGTGTATGACACTTTCACAGTGTTAAAAACAGAACATATCTCTAGCTTCTTGACACATATTAACTCACTAGTGGAGGGAATAAAATTCACATTTGAATCGGAAGATGAACAAGGAGAGTTAGATTGCTATGCTAGATTGTAAAATAAAACGAATAGAAGAAGGTAAACTTCACACTAGCGTTTATAAAAAACCAACACATTCTAATAGATATTTAGACTTTAATTCATCTCATCCGTTAACTGTTAAGGCAGGCTTAGTTAATTGTCTTACAAACCGAGCGATAGCATTAAGTAGTACAAGAAAAGACCTAAATGATGAAATAAAACAGACAGATAAAGAGTTGGTATCAAATAAATATCCTATAAAATTCACTAGGAAGATCAGAAAAGGCCAAACAAAATCAAAATAATATGGAAACTAATAACGAAAACATAAAAAAGAGAAAATAAGGCATTTACAGTTCTACCATATAAGAAGGGGACATCTGAGACCCTCCCTACGTAGGATTCTTAATAAAGCAGGAATTAGAGTGGCATTTAAACTTACAAACTCACTCAGGGACAAGCTCTGTAGGTTAAAGGACCCAGTGGACCCAATTAGACAAAATAATATAATTTACAAAATACCCTGCAATGACTGTGATTGAGGTCAACTACATAGGTCAAACTAGTAGGTCAGGGATAGTCAGATCGTCAGAACATAAGAATTTAGCTAAGGTAAGAATGGTTGACCCAGAGAAGATAAGTAATTTAGAAAAAAGCTCGGCAATTGCAATGCATGCATTAACACACAACCACACAATAGGGTGGGAGAGGGTTAAAATTCTAAAAAGTAACCTAGGTGGGTGGAGGGAGAGGTTGATTACTGAATCTTTGTTCATCGAATCTACACCCAACACATGCAATAGGAATTACTCATCACTCATACCAGAAATATGGAAAATACTACTGCCAATCAAGTCAAGCGATGAAAAATAATGGAATTATATAAACGGAGTTAGAAAGTTGTGTGAGTACCTTGATATGATTATGAGGAATAAATTGTGCTGGAAACGTCATCAGTAAGTATTACTGTATAAGGCTATGAGACTTTATCAAAATAAAACTTGACCCATAATGGAATAAATGGAGATTATTGTGGAACAATAAAAAAAGCATGAAAGGGAGACCAAAAAGCTGAATACGAATAACTTTTGCTAAAGGAAATTACTGTGTTGATTGTCTGTATTTTGCCATGACTGTCATTTTGCCAACGCAGCTGCACAACACATTGATATTTGGTAGTGGAATTGTTTGTTGCAGAAGATATTACATGTGATACATTTTTTATGAATTTTTGTCGGTAGCACATGACGCACATCAAGCAGTAACATATATTGCATTGCTTTGTTGCTCGAAATTTCTCAGTGTATCAAAACATTTATTTTTATTTAGTTTGAACCTGAACTTCTTTGTTATCTGAACACCGTTTGTTTATTTTCCGAGCCTTTTGTTAAATGACGTCTTATTACCTTCCCAAGTTCTTTGAAAATTCTAGTGTACACATACCTCATTAGTTTTTACTATGTTGTGTGCAGTTGGAGAGAAACCCATGAAGTTATTGACAGCCTCATTATTTTTCTACTCAATCTCTTGTTTTTGCTTTATTCAAATTCACAAATGGGAAGGAACATATAAACTTCCATATATTACAGTCAACATATTTGCATTTCTGAAGGAACTGAGTGTGGAATTGCTTTTTGTATATTCAGTATTGAAATATCTGGTTTTATTTCACTTACAGTGTTAAACAGTACCTCAGTATTAAAAAATTATGAATAATAGATTATACTTCAGAGTATCGGCACTCATATTTTCGTATGAATACTCTGGTGAGGTTCCATCAACAACTAGTATATTGGAGCTCATGAGTCATCCAGGGCAAACAATGCATTTTCCCGTTCTCCTTGGAAAATTTTAATTATTATTACGGTTTGATGTCTTAGAGAATTGTAGACATATTCCATAAGCCTACTTACGTCTCTCTAGAATTTGCTAGCAGTTGTAGCTTGTTAGTCTAGGCGATTGATTTCCGGCTTGTGTGCAATGGGTTCTGAATCCAGTCATCGTCTACAATTGTAAATACTAGTGGCTGCTAGGTAACATTTCCTTCTTATTTACTCCTATGTCAACATCTGATAAATCACAAGTCGTAATAACCGATTACGTTTTATTGTGGGTTGATATTATGAAATGTGTAACATTTAACTCATAACCCATAGACTTATCCTTCAGGGTTATTAAAGTGAAACATATGAACAAAATATTAATATCTTTTGTATTATTTAATAAGTAAGGAGGAAAAGCGAGATAAAAACAAGAATGTTGAAGAAGTCAGTGATAGACTCAGTAGTTGTCTTGAAAATCCTTGTTCACTGTTGTATTTCTCTGAAGAATTCGAGTGTCATATTTACTGTCTTCTCTGTCATGATTACCACTAAGGCTGAACTGATCATCCTTCGATTGACTTTTGCTCACAATAAGCTGATTTTTGATTGATTTTTGATTTCCGACATTTTCAGTAAAATCTTGTTTCCAAGATTTTGAGTTCCCAGTACAAGCTCTAAATAGTTCTCTGTCTCGTAAGCCATAAGTAATAAAATTCCAGGAACCCTGAAATAGCATACAAATAAGGGGTATGAATTTACTGCATGTAGAAGGTATGAATATAATTTAGATTCTTTCTGAGATTTTATAACATTATGACTAACTTGCAATTACATAGAAGGATATTTCTAAGGAATAACTCGCAGTAATCGGAAATGAATTGTGCCTTAAGGGGAGTCAGAATTCTGAATCGACTAGATGCACTACAGAACTACTTACGCTACTGTCCAAATTCCTTAGTATTTATACTATAAAAGAAAGATAATCTCTAGAGAATAAAGGTGTCTATTGCATTTTGTTTTATGCTTTTTACCTGGACTGAAAACTATGAGATTCATCTGAAATCCTTAGGATGACTGTAAAGCCATCACAAAATATGAAACATGCATATATATATATATATATAAACTAATGGGAAATCAAGGACAGCGTAGCACTGTTTTTTATTTCTTTATGTTGCCAGTGGAACACAGGTCTTCAGGCTAAAGGCTTGAAGTTTCAGTAGCAGAGGTGTTTGGTTTACGGGACCGGGTTGCTAGCCTCATGCCCAACCTTCGCTCTTTACCAGTCTTATTACTGGATTAGCGAGGTAAAGGAGTGATTCGGCCGGGGATCGAACCCCAGGACACATGCAGAGTCACTTATCTCAGCATGAAACTCACCGGAATTGCATACTTACTGGCCAATATATGACCAAGCTGGGAACATTCGGGCTTCATTACGAGCTACTTATATAGTTTTTGAACTGAGATATTAGTGTGAGGGAGCATTCGTCAAGGAAAATGGCGCATCCATGTAGTACTCATTTCCATGGATTCTGAAACTTATCAGATTTGGTAATCAGTAATTCTTGACTGTTCAGGTCATGATAGGAAGAGTGGAATTCGAGCTTGAAGGAGAAAAAACTTAGGAGATAAAACTACAGTCAATCAGTCACAGATACTATTTTTAAGTTAATTTTGACTCGAAATACAGCTTAGTATCTATTTTTCAGACAAAATACTACAGTTTTAGGAGGACATATTTAATTCTAAATATTTCAGCCTGACTAAAATATGTGTGGATGTGAAAACTGATCACTTGTGAAGCATTTACACTGCTTGCTTACAGATGAAAAATATTATTTCATATTTTCTCTTTCTTCCTGCATTGACTGTTGTTTGTTTAATAGTGTCTTCAGTTAACAGTTACTTCAGAAATCAGTCGAGCTTATGGTATAACATTAAAATATATGGGTGGAAATCACTTGTCATATCAATAACTTACCTGTAATGAGACCAGAGTAAATGCAACGAAAACAAGGTATGGTACTGTCAGTTGAATAACCATAGCAAACAGACTCCATGTGATTGTGTGGTATAAAACTAACGAGTTAAGTTTTTTCACGCGAGTTCTAGAATAATAAAACAAAATGATGTAAATGGAGTTATTTCTTCAGAAAAAAGTTTTGTTATCCAAATGAAAACACAAAGCTGTGCATCAGTAAATTAAGAATCATTCCGTTTATGGTGTGCACTCGTCTACTGTGTTGATAGGGCTGTCAGTTCTCTTTCGGTAACATAGCTGTGCTTGAAGAGCTAGTTTGGGTTGATAAGTCAGAATTTTGACGAAATAATCACTTTTAGCTAATAAAATGATAAACACGAAGTTAACACCAGCATTTACGTCCTAAGTTACCTCTGCAGACTGTTTTTTTAAGGACCTAAATATACTGGCTTTATTTCTTGAGTGACATAAATCTGCACCAGTGGAATCAGACAAATATTTATACTAATCTTATCAAAACACAATGCTAATGATAGAGCTGGAAGCGTTTTTGTCTTAGATGAAAAGAGAGGATATCTTGTGTTGTGTAAGGTCGTCGAGTGCTAAGCATAACGCTAAGCTGCAAACTGCAAGGGTTCTATTCAGTCAGTAGAACGAAATCTGCTAATGGTAGTTTAAGTTAATGATTGCAAATTACACCGATTCAAGATGACCATTTTCCCATGAAACGTGGTAAGCGAAATGTGTGCTGATTTCTAAATGTTCATACAATCACACATTTAATTGATTCATACATCAATGAGTCGTACTCGCTTCTGTTTTCATTTTCTAGTTTTATATTCAGTCATATGTGATGAATTAGTATGCATTATTATCACTTTTGATTATTCTCATTTATGCAACAATAAATAATTGTATGCTCATTGATGTGTTTGCGTGTGTGTGTGTTCGAGTTCGCTTGAGGGTTATAAAAAATAAGTAAATTGTGTGTTTAACAGATACATACATATGCCTGCAGTTTGACTGACTGCTTGAATTTCGGCCACTCTAATAGTTTTTTTTGTCCTTCACGTTCCCCAGTGGAACAAAGGGTTTCAAGCTGGTTGGCTTGAAGTTTCTGTAGCAGTGTTTATTTTACAGGATGGGGTTGCTAACCTCATGCCCAACCTTTCCTCTTCACCAGCATTATTTCTGGCTCAGCGAGGTAAAAGAGTGCGTCGGCCGGGGATCGAACCCCGGACTATGTGCATGGTCGGCGAACGTCTTAACCGCTATGTCACCGACGCACCTACTCTAATCGTACAAGATTACTATTACAATCACTGTGGTTCTTGTTTGATTCTGATTAGAATTTTGAATTAGTACTGAATTTATATATGTCCAAACCAAGTTCACTTTTAACGGTTTGAATTTTTTTTTGAATTTTTAAATTTGTGAAAATCACTTCTTAATTCGATTGTAAAAGCACCAGAAAGTGCATCCTGCAAATGTTGTTGAGCGCATAGACCTAGCGCACATGGAAACTGTCGTATATCAAGTATCTTTGAAAAAAATATACTTTACAGTATTTATTAATTTTAAATTATAACTTAATAAGGATATTCTAACTAAAAAAAGTTCCACTCATATTTGGTTTAGATGAGAACATCAGATAGTCGGTGTTGAGTGACCAAGCTTAAAGTATATTTACTGCTAATCATTCAGGAATCGTGCCAGGGTACTTAACCACTTCACAGCATATAAGTTTTCTGTGTATTTTCTAAGTAATATTATATTCACTTTGGTATAGTGCAATAATCCTTTTTTTCTCCGAGTAATTCGCTGATACTCTAGTAGCTAAAAAGTTACTACACTTCTCTATGAAACTGAGCGTTTACCAGTCATTTTGAGAATGAGGTCTTCATGTAGCAATGGCCGAAGCAGTACGCTACCAGTTCGATCATGGAGTCAAGAAAACCATCAGAAACAAAGCTAAGACTATTAGTGGTCATCAAGTTCGACAAAGAACACAAGAGAGAAAAACATCATCCATATTCTACTGTATTAAGAAAATTGTTCATGAAGTTTAATTTTAAAGTGACATAACAGCTTCAGAAAATAAACTGCCAGTTTCTTTCTTCAAACTTTGTTGCACAATGGTCGAATGTTTACTAGCACTGAAAAAGGGTAAAGGTTAATGCGTGTAGATTAAATGATATGTCACGTTCACTCATAAAGAATGTTCATCTAATTATTCTTTAAATAGTCAATTTCCTTGAAACTCCTAGCAACTTCGTCTACTTGAACTATTTGTATTATTTCATATCCTGTAAATAACTTTATGTCAACTTGATATGACCGTATTCATTTCATTGTAATGCAAAAATCTCAGTATTGACTGGCTTCTACGAGATAGAGAAAAATTCACAAAATGATGCAACAAACATGCAATTACCAAGGTAAAACTCTATGTTGTAGGCGAATCGGTCGTCTAATTGTGACTGTTAGCGCTTGTTGATCAGGTACAATATTATTTCTTATCAATAAAGGTTCATATTATTCTTAAGCCTATTGACAAAGTCATGATTATTTGTAACCATCATGGGGATATATGAAATGCCTTACACTTTTTATGATACTCCCATTGAGTATTTCTTCGGTCGAACTGTCTGAGATTGCCAATATTTCTTTACATTTTTTCCATATTTCATAATTCGTCATAATTAACCAGTCATAATCCTCCTGAAGTATATTAACCGCCAAGATGAATTTCAACTGACAAATTCAACCGAGGTGTAGGATTGACGAACACTGTGCTCAGCGACACATTAAGTATAATAAATCAATTTTTCTGACAAGCTAAATAGGTTCGTTTGATGTGGTATATTTCCTAGATGAGGTACAAAGAAATCCTTGTTGCTAAATGTTAGACGCCTTTTTAAAGCAATCTTACTTAATCAGTAGGTTACATGACATGCATTGTATTTAAGACTACGGTCAGTGACCTACTAATAATTACTGAGTCTGTGTCAAGCCCTATTATCTACATATTTTATTTAATCTGGAGGAACTTCTATCTTCGTGATTTCAATCAGTGTCACCATTTGGGAGATATTAACTTTTTCAGTAATTCAGTGATAAAATCTTCAGCTTCAATTGTAAATAAAATGGTATAAGTTTCTGAGGCTTTTCAGAAACGCCTTTAAGTATGACTTTCAATGAGTATGGTTTCATAATAGTCGTTCACAATATTCGAAATATGAGGTGTTAAAGATTTACAGTTTAAGATGATAATAGAGATACTTTTGATATTTTCGAGTGTTAACTTCGTGACAAGGGGATTGGTAATAATTTCATCAAACCTGACGATTAAGCATTCAAGACCCAATATGAAAGTTAAGTGAAACAGCAAACAATGGAAATTTTCAACATGATTGGGAAAAAAAATATTAATCATTAACTTACAGCAGTCTGTCAAGTATGTTTGCAGACAAAAATGCTGGGGTTTCTATGTTGCAGGTTAGAGTCATGCATGTCAGTACAGCGATAATCGTGTATGCGAAAACTGAACCAAACATGATCCAAAATTCCAGTGATTCTCGTGATGGCAAACACAGCAGATCTCCTCCTTGTGAACTAGCTTTCGATATTACTGTAGGCACTGTAGCCAATGAGGCTGGTAGGAAAATACCGATACTCCATGCCCAACAATATGTCATTTTCAGCTTACCCAGCACATAACATTTAAACAAACTGATCGTTTCATTTGCTAGCCAACTGGAAACCAGTATGGAAAAGAGATTCATCGAAAAACCGATAACTTGACAGGCGATTTGATACTTATTCAAAAGTGGTTCAGTCAGCAGTGTGGCGTGAAATCCTATCTGGCAAATGCACAGGCCGATTCGCGTTAAACATATGTCTGGCATATCAGTTTTCTTCAATACCGTAATGAGTGTCATTAGAAATAAGACTGAACATACCAAGGACAGACTATTTCCACCCAGGATAATAATATTCATCACCAGATCAAATTCTGATTCACTTGTTAAACCCCATGCCTTCCAAATTGGTGGATTTCTATAAGGTGCTTCTTCTGATTCCATAGCTACAGAGAATAAACTTAGGTGATTACATGCACATTGGACATGCGTTAAATTGGCTTTTACTATTTGACAGCCACTGGTATCCCACTCACCATTTTGCATCTCTCCATTCTTCCAGTATACACAACGTATCTGATTAGCTAGTTCATCATGGGATCGCTCAGCCTTATAAGCCTTCCAAATCATACGTCCTGTTGTTTGGTAGTAATAAACACTTTGGTATTTATTTCGTTTCAGTAAGGGTATGGTATACTGTATTCTGATGGACAAGTTATTGTTATCATTACCATTAGAAACAGCATTACTTAATGATGCTTCCGACTGATTTGTAGCAAAGAATTTGACTGAATATAACGGACTTGCGATGAAGAATACACGTTGGACATTCATCTCAGGTACACTTCTATTACTGTTACTAAGCGGATTATATTTGGCCTCTAAATTTACCTGTCGTAGTTGTGCGTTTGCGTTAAATTTTTTTAAAGGTATATCAGCAATTATAAATTCTTCATCATCTTGCAAATCCCTATCTAGTATTGTCAGTATTGATAAACCTCCTGTTATGGACGTATTACTTCGTTGTTCTTGCACACTATTTGACTTTCGAATGCCAGTGGGATTTACTGTAAGTTTAAATTCCGAATACCAGTTGTTCCTTGCATAATTTTTTTGATATGAAACGTTTAATGCCAAAGAATTCGAAGTATTAGTAGAACAATTATTATTCAACTTGAAATTCAGAGAATAACTGGCTACATCTGTATCAAGTGACTTTAACAATGTGTAACATTGATTCGTTTGGTTGTTTGTATTGAACGTTGAAATGTATAAAAGGATTTGATTCAGATTACTTAATAATTCATTATAGGATATTTTTTGATCAATTATGAGAATCGACCATGCATCTTTAAACTTTGAAGACAATAACATATGAATTAAATTTGTGATACTTGAGTGAATATTTAATTTAATTGCAGCTATTTCACTATAAATCAGCGGACTCATTAAATCTGTTAATTTCTGAAACGCTGTAGGCCATGCACGTATTATCCTTATCGTTGAGGATAACAGATTTATAGCATATCCATTATCATCACCACTTGAACTACTAATACTACTAGTGCCACTACCAAAAGTATCTGTAGTATTGTATTTCATCAAAAGCTCTGTACTAATTTGCAATATTTTCATAAAATCTGATGGATAGACAAGCTTATTAGCTTGACTTGCCATACGAATGATGTTCGACTGAAAAAGAAAACAAGTTCAACAGATAAAAAGTGTATTACTGAGCTTGGCTGTATAATGTTAAATGCCAGTACTTGAGCTACTTCAAAAGCTGAATCCAAAGACAAAATTTAAAGTGTCTCAATGATGCACTACTTGGAATTTCTTCTTGCTGATTGGTATCCGAATAAACAGACAGCTGTGGAATACCCTAAGGTATTTAAACGGACAACTTTGAATGACTAACTAGTTACTGAAATATTACTGATCAAACCAGGATTAATTCAATAAAATCATTTAAATTGGTCCAATAATTAGAATTTTGGCTTTATGTTGGTCATGATAAAAAAGTACTCCATTGTGTAAGAAGGGAACTTTGAGACTGTAGCACAGTATGACCATTCTACATGAGTTAAATTTGTCCAATAAAGCATGCAGTGATACAGCATTATTTACAGTGTGCCGCTCTGGACATCAGTTTATCCCACACATTCATATAGTCTGCATCTGATGTTTAATTATTTTTTATTACTCCAAGTGGTTTATTCCTGTACCAGCTTTGCCGAAATAACTTCAGCTACTACTATGTGTGTATTTGTAGACAATGACAAAATATAACGAATTACATTGACAATCCTAAATGAAATGGTTATTTAGAAAAGAGACTGATTATCCATTGAAGTCATTCATTGATGTATTGGTTAGTTTTGAAATGAGTATTATCGTTTGATAATGGTGTGAATGAAGTTGTATTTATGGTCGCTAGGCGATAACCAGTTTAGCTAATTATCTTTTAGCATGGTGACTGAAGTCTATGAGTCATTTATGCAACTTGTGTTTCACACTAGGGAACGTGCTAATAGGCAGGAATCACTGAGCCTATATTTTCTGCTTCTTACCGCACGTCAATTAAGCAAGTATCCCACCTCGATGAAATTCAACTTTTTTGAAATTCGAACTTGAATCACTTAGAGTGCAAACAAGCCAGTAATCTGCTTGGGTCACAACCTAATTATCAGTGGTTTCGTTAATAAAAACAAAGTTATGGTGTTGCTTTCGTATGTGACATACTCATTTACCGCGAAATCATAATAATTAATGTATCTACGGACTGTGTCATTCATCCACCTCGTGTAAGTTTCACTTAATCTTAAGTTTTACTTGATACCATAATCCCTAAGTACACATAGTAACTTGTAGCTTGTAAAGAATTGAAGAGATTTTAGAAAGAGAAATGTATTAAAGGAAGAGCCACAATTATCTCATCTTCTGTTTGACGCAGTCGCTAACTTATGTACGTAAAGTAATAGTGGATGATTGGCTATATTAGATGTTCCAGGGCTATGAAATGTTGCAGTTTGGTGAAAGCATAAGAAATGTGTTTATAGACATCGGTGACTAATTTTGGATGTTCATTGGTAGCATAAAGTACTTGTATACTAACTAAATACAGAGTAAACTTGATCAACAAGGTTGGAAGAAAAATAAAATGGAAAATGGAAAAATCTCACCAGTGTATAATCCATGCACACAGAACCATCTGTCTGCCTGCAGCCCTGCATCAGAATGCATGTAACTGTTTCTGGTAGGTCTGTATTACTATCACAGTCGCCCCGTAGGAATTTATGAGTTTTCCTAGGTTTTGAGCAACTGATAACTTTGCTATTTTCCCAGTATGCTGAAAAAAAAATATGAAACTTGAAAGTCAATTACAAAACATAACGTATGATACAACGAATTCATAATAAACAAATAAATGAAGCCAGAATCTTTGAAACTTTGAATAAAGTTTAGCAGACTACGTCAGTTTATGATTTGAACACATTATAGGTTTATTTTACGTAAGCGTTTCTCATCAACAAATTCAAACAAAAATTATATCCAATTTTAACTGCTTAATTCTTGTTATTCCCACTCCGCAATATTAATGTCACCTTCTCTTAGACGTGTCAGTCACTTTTCCAATTTATTTCCATTTTTAGAGGGTGAAATATTATTTTGAAATAAACTGTACTTTAGTTATTCTGCATTAACTGTTTTTCGAGTTTTATTCAAAGTAATACAAATAAGCGACTATGTGTCATATCCTGCATGAATTAACGGTCGAAAATGTAGAAATTTGAAAACACTACATGTTACTTATTGCAATTTTCTGACAAAAAAAAAATAGTTTTTGCAGTTATAACTATGAATTCTGCCTAATGATCTCAGAAGGAAGCCAAATAATAACAAACACCGACGAATATCAGTCTAGTGAACATGACTTCTGGTGAATAACCAATAAATTCCAAATGGAGTTTACTTCTTCCATTTTTTACAGATATTGTAGCTAAGAAGTTTGGAAAATATTACCATCTGCAAGTTGAATAAGAATGACTGGTTTTTGGTAGTGTCTATAGGTCACTAATGAAAGGTCTTGCGCTATCAAATAATTATTCTTTCGAAAGGCATTGAAAAATAATGTATTAGTTAATCATCCGGAAACTATTATGTACTGTTCTGACGACTTTGTTTTACTCATGAACACCAAAGATTCTGTGCAGAACATTGACGGCTTTTAAGAAATTCACTAGCTCTAACATACTAATCATCACATTTAGAAATGTACTACAAACAAGAGTACTGTGAATAGTATGCAATCAGTTCATTTTAGTTTTTATGACTTTGATTGGTGAGTATACGTGCTTCTCTATCGCAGTTTTAAACAGAAATGAAAAGTACATGAAAAAATGCTCTCAAAAGTGTTATACAACCAACCTAAATTTGTGATTCCACCTGTAGCGAATACTTGGTTGGTTGAATTGTCGGTAGAATTCCTCAATTTGTAATATGCAGAACCGATGTAAACACTTGATGTGACATTCGTATCCACCTTCATGTTCAATGCAGAGTTCGGTATCGTCGATGAGTGTTTGCGTATACCATCTATGTAGAGTTCAAGTGCCCCTGTTTGATCTTCTGGTGTACTATACCAGCTGAATGCAATATTGGTCCATACACCAAGTTTTATCGAGTTTACTGAATCAATTAACCATAAAAAGCTTTCAGTATATATGCTGATTATCAGCGAAAGTTGTAGTTGTCCATTTTGTGCTCGACCAGTGATACGAAGTAGAATTCCAGGCCTGTCGGGTGGACCAGTCGATAAGATTATTGCGGTGACCTGATATTCCAATTACACCCAATAAAAGAGAAGAAGTGGATTTTAGAGTAGTCTTTCTAAGGAAATTAGATAACAGAGACGTAGTTGAATAGGTTTCCAGCAAATTTACATACGCTTCAGAAGCAATATCAGCAATTAATAGCTACTGACATAAATGGACAGCTATGCTAAGTTAAATTAAAATCATCTAATTTCAAATGGCTCTCATGCTTTAAACCTTGAAAAATCTTGGAGACTTTTCCCTATGATACATCATTCATGAGTTATTCTTACTTCATGGTTTATCACACAAATTGCCTATGCATTGGAATTACTATACAGCGAAAATAATACTCTGTCACAGAAAACATATACTATTCAAACTACAAAACATACCAGGTATATATGATGGATTTATTTTTGTCAAAATCCAAACATTTGGACATTGTAACATCTTTTTGAAGTATAAATTCATCCTTATTTTCATATTATAGGTTCTTAGTTTATTATTACCCACATAGTACACTAACAAAATAGTGGTGCTGTATGGGGGTGAAAGGACTAACGATGCACATAGAAGTAGTCTGTGTTGAGGATTAAAAAAATGAACGGTTTAAACAGTCTGTAATCCTCATAAATGGCAAACTAAGTTTAGGGTAATACTTTATCTATCAGCAGTTTAGGAATCCTCTTCAGCATATATGAGTAATTATTAGAGTACCTGTGGTTTGTATAATTTTCCTTCCAAAGGCTGTAACAGTGTTACTGTTTTGTTATACGTGAAGCTTCTATCACAATTAGAAGGATGATATATTTCATTTAGCTTTGTGGCTATCACCACTCATCAGTGAAACGACTCTTCCTTAAGGATTCTAACGTGTCTTACTACTTTTGGAAATCAAAGATTCTGTCACAAAGTTACTCAAGCCATTGTTCATTTTCACTCATATACCATTTCGAAGGTACAGGCCGTCTAAAGCCCTGTATACTGTCAGTATCTAACACTGAAAAGTATCAGTTAGTGGGTGGTTAGAAATTATCCCGTCCAACTAGATTTGAAGTTTTATCAGTGTCTGTTTTGACGCTGAACTATTTTTTGACACAATATAACAAATTCTATTGAACGACTGCTTTGATTAGTTTGATTTTCGACAGCATTTTTCCGCCATTGCATATACAACAAATTACTATTGAGTATTTATGTAAGCACACATTGAATTACATCAAAATGATACAAATCGTAAAAATAACTGTTTAGGCATATAACTAACATTTTCATTGTTGTTCAGAGTAATATTGTCGCCAGTCTGATTGACAAATCCACTGATCATTATCCACATTGACATTACTATGCCATTTTTATTACATAAATCCGGATTTTGAAAACATGTTATCAATGGAGTTAACAATGGTTTACTGAATGTCTCCAGTCGAGAAGCTGAGTTCTCACGATTACTGTAGTCAGCAATAGTTCCTTGCAGTGTTTCAAACATATCCATTTTCTGATAACAAGTACTTTTACTAGGTGTACTGATGACTGAATTTAAATCATATCCACTAGATATATCATATAATGTCATTGAGCTGACGCACAATTTTAAACCACGTCCAACTATTACACTTTGTTGCATTTTCATTTGAGTAGACAATTTAGCATTTGTTTCACTAATGAAAGTTCCATTTTCGATAGGTGCCAATAAATTACCATCAACACGTATTGTTAATGGTCGATCCTGATAATAAAAAACTTGGATATTGATCCATTTACCTGGTTGGTAAAATGAAGTAAGCTTGACTGAATTTTTCGACGTCGAAAACTGGCCTCGTATTTCAACTCTAAATTCACTTTGATCTGTTGATAAATTGATAAATAAGCCAACACTTTTCGTTACAGCACCTATTGGTGTTGTACGCAGAATTTCTTGCTCACTGCCTGATTGTCGAGGTAATTCAATTAGTTTTAAACGAATAGCTACAGCGAAACTTTTACACGATGATGGATCAAATAGGCAAGAATCGTATAAGTTGGTTATAACTCCGTTTCTTTCGATTTTATCACCAGTGAAACTTATATATGACAATTCATTACCTTGGGTACATAATGCACCCTTTAAATTATCATACTGATCACGACCTTGGTAAGCGTTAACGCCTTGTATTCGGTTCGGTGTTAAATCCCGAAGAAGACCATTCATCTGCCAGTAGAAAGTTGAATATCTCAATTCCAATAATTCAAAATACTCTAAACCAATTAAACTCATCATATTATTCAATGTCAAATATTTCGGTTGTAAAACTATTAAAGCAACTGAAAATGTTAATTTTTCAGTTGGGCTAAGGCTTTTTGAACTAATTAACAGGAAAGATTGTTTATGTGTATTTGTTTCGTCGAATAGGTTTTGAGATTTCTTAATTGCATTATCAATCCATTCTTGGTTTGTTGGTTTAGCTAGTTGGGTGTTTTTATTGCACTGCATTAATATCAAGCCATTTATTAGTAATTGTAGAACATTATTACTTTCAGTAGTGGTTGAAGTTGTGCCCCAGATTAGGCTCAGATGAATCCATTGCATATTTTTTTGTTGCAAGCCGATTTCCAAACCATCAACAACACACTTCCAATAGTTTCTTATTGTGTTATTGCCTTCGACAACTTCATATTGTAACCATCCTCCAAGAAGTGCTCCATTATTGGAAACAACTAAGCCGTAATTTCCACCAGCTCCGGTGAAAAGTATAATTGGTTCAGTTTGATTGACATTGGGTTTGTAGAAATAACCGCCAAAACGATACCAGCCACCAATACTTAATCCCTAAAAAATAAGTGGAAATATTACTACTGTTTACAAATGGAAATCAGTTTTATAATGGTATAAATAATGTTTGACAAATAATATGCAATGCGTTTAATAATCCACCGAAAAGCTATGTATATCACAACTGCGCCATTAATTTACAATTAATTCGTTAATGTAACAGTGGGAGTAACCTCGCCTAGATTACTAGGTCACTAGTATTCTAGCCGGTCCCAAGCCCGGATAAAGAGGGAGGGTTGGGGCGTGGTGCTAGCAACTCCACCCCCAAAACTTAACCAAATTGCTACTAAAACTTCAACGCACAAATATATTCAAAATTCTAAAATTACAAATAGTGACCTTATTTTTCGCTGGAATCGGGGAAGTGAAATGACGCGGGCTGGTGAAAGCCTTCGGGAAGCCAGTCAGCCGATGTGCCTTCTTTCGATGAAAGCGAAAATAAGGATGGGGACGTGGAATGTTCGTACAATGTACGAAGCTGGGAAGGCTGCTCAGGTAGCCGCAGAAATGAGGAGATATAGAATAGAAGTGTTGGGAATCTGCGAGAGCAGATGGAACGGATGTGGAAGGAGCCAACTATCAACTGGAGAGACAATAATCTACTCCGGTCACCCAGAGGACAATCACGAGCACACCGAGGGAGTAGCCATCATGATGTCACCAACAGCGGCTAAAGCTCTCATGCAGTGGGAACCAATCTCCTCCAGGATAATGACAGCCAGGTTCAACCCAAAAGGAAGGAAGGTTACAATCATTCAGTGCTACGCGCCTACAAACGCCTCAGAACATGAGAAGAAGGAGGATTTCTACAGTCAACTACAAACAGTAATGGACAACGTCCCAAAGAGCGATATCAAAATCCTGATGGGCGACATGAATGCGAAATTGGGAGGAGACAATACAGGAAGAGAACTCACCATGGGTCGTGAGGCCCTCGGTGAAATGAACGAAAATGGTGAACTCTTCTCAGACTTCTGCGCCTTCAATGATTTGGTGATTGGTGGCAGTGTGTTCAAACACAGGGATATACACAAGGCAACATGGATTTCACCAGATGGACACACCAAAAACCAGATAGACTTCATTTCAATCTCAAGGAAGTGGAGACGGAGCCTACTGGACACAAGATCGAGGAGAGGAGCAGATGTGGGTTCAGACCACTATCTGGTACAAGGGACTTTCAAGGTGAAGCTGAAAGCCTCGAGGATAGCTGGGGATAGGCCACAATGCAAGTTCAACACTCACAAACTGAAGGACACAATCACACAGGACATTTTCACTGCAACTGTCAGAGCAAAGCAGGAAACACTACGTGGCACCACTGAGGAATCATCCGTGGAAGACCATTGGAACTCTCTGAAGGTAATTTTCAACGAAACGTGCTCAACGGTTTTAGGAAGAAAGAAGAAACAAGATAAGGAATGGCTCTCAACAGACACTTGGAAACTAATAGAGGAGAGGAGAAAAGTGAAAGAGAAAATGATTCAATGCAAAGATGGACAAGAGAAAGAGACGCTGAACTCAACTTACACAGCACTGGACAAAGAAGTGAAGAAGAGTACCAGGAAGGACAAAAGACAATTCTACGACAACCTGGCTACTGAAGCTGAGAAGGCAGCAGGCAAAAGGGACCTGAGGACACTATATCAGATAACCAAGTCTCTATCCGGGAAGAGATCAACACAAGTGAAACCTATAAAAGACAACCAAGGGAACCCAATTACCAAAGAAGAAAGACAGATTAAACAATGGGCGGATCACTTCAAAGGACTCTTGAACCGACCACCACCTACAACCCGTCCAGTAATACCAACAACAGCACGTACACAACTGCAAGTTGACACCAATCCTCCAACGAAAACTGAAGTCATGAATGCAATCAAGCTTCTGAAAGCTGGAAAAGCAGCTGGACCAGATGGAATACCCCCTGAAGCACTGAAAGCGGACCCAGAAACGACGGCAGATATGCTGACTCCATTATTGCAAAAGATCTGGAAAGAGGGAAAGGTGCCTACTGACTGGAGGAAAGGTTACCTGGTGAAACTACCAAAGAAGGGCGACCTGGGACTCTGCAAGAACTGGCGAGGAATCATGCTCCTGTCGACGCCAAGTAAAATCCTGAGTCGCATCATCCTGGAGAGAATCAAGGATGCGCTGGATACAGAACTCCGACCAGAACAAGCTGGATTCAGGAAAGGCAAATCATGTTCTGACCAAATTGCAACTCTACGCATTATCATCGAACAAAGCATGGAATGGCAATCAAATCTCTACCTCAACTTCATAGACTTTGAGAAGGCCTTCGACAGCGTTGACCGCGAAGTAATTTGGAAACTACTCGAGTACTACGGCGTACCGCAAATATTCATCAACCTTATTCAACAACTGTACGACAACGGCACATGTCAAGTGATCCACAACGGAAAACTCAGCGAAGCGTTTGGAGTAAACACAGGAGTCAGACAAGGGTGCTTATTATCACCAATGATATTCCTAATTGTGGTGGACTGGATTATGCGTCAGACAGTGGGAAACGAGAAGACAGGGATATCCTGGACCGACGTGAAGAACCTAGAAGACCTGGATTTCGCGCGTGGATGATTTATGTTTGATGTCACACAAAATCGAAGACTTACAAGCAAAAACCGACAAACTGGTCGAAGAAGCAGCTGGTGAAGACAGGACTCCAGGTGAACATAGACAAGACGGAGGTTATGAAAATAACCAACCAACAACAGCAGCAACATCCAGTGCCAATCACCATCAACGGGAGGGATTTGAAAGAGGTTACTTCATTCACTTATCTAGGGAGCATTGTCTCAACCACAGGAGGAACGGACGAGGATGTCAAATCGAGAATCGGGAAGGCGAGAAACACATTCATCAATCTGAAACCAATCTGGAAATCTTCGTCACTCAGCCTGCATCAACAACAAAATTCGGATTTTCAATACAAACGTCAAGTCAATTTTGCTTTACGGATCAGAAACTTGGCGGGTTACCAAGAATATTTTCAACAGGTTGCAGACCTTTATCAACAACTGTCTTCGCTCCATACTGAAGATTAGATGGCCAGAAAGAATCACAAACAAGAAGCTATGGGAACAAACGAAACAGGAACCAATCGCCCAACAAATATGCAGGAGGAAGTGGAGATGGATTGGACACTCGCTGAGGAGGCCGTTGGGTGACATCGCGCGTCAAGCCCTCGAGTGGAACCCGAAAGGGAAGCGGCGAGTGGGACGTCCAAGGGTGACAGGGAGGAGATCGTGTGAGGAGGAGATGAAACAGTATGGAATAACATGGACGCAAGTGAAAAGAACAGCAGAAGACAGAAGCAAGTGGAGACGTGCAGTTGAAGCCCTATGTTCCACTAGGAACCCAAGGGAACAATAATAATAATAATAACAGTGGGAGTGAATGTGTTTTTTAAACAGCCATTTAATTGGTTTTTAAATAATATTCATTGTGCAAATGGTAATCAAATGATGAAAAGATTAATCTATAATGTCAGCACATTTTACCGCAAATACAGGGTGATTATCCATGCCTTTTATGATTAATCTACAAACATCGGATAAGGAATTCTTTAACTAGTTGAACTGTCTAAATTGGGAAAAGGCTGTATTTGTATACCGGTAAGATTGTGAGTTACAAAAATCTTGGTAAAAGAATTACAGCATATTCTATGTACCTTAATTTGAGCAGATTACCATTATTTAAGTTTATAGTTGTTCGAAAACACTACACTGTTAAACTATTTTCGGTTTTACAAAAACCCTACCACTGCAACTGAAATTTCAAAGATCAATCCTGGAGCCATCTGTTTCACTCAGAAAGCAAAGGAATAAAATAATAATCACAAATCAGCAAGAGGTCTAATCAGAAAATAGAATGGACAGAATTGCTATGAAAGTCGTGTAAGAATGCAGGTCTTTATCTCACAGAGTTCTTCTGTTGGTTAGTGAATTCTATCGCAGTCCATATTGTATAAAGAAAACTATATGGAACTGACTGTATTATAATATGTGTTAGATTAAGAACACTGATAAATAACTAAAAGAAAGGAATGTTTTATTCGGAGTTACATTATTCTGTAAAAGTGTATAATTGAACTAGACATGTGATATTTTACAGAAATAATGTTGCTTCAAGACTTTATGCTCACAATTTATTGTCTCTAACTGAAGCACTGGGTGACGGGAGTTTGAATCTCAGAATGGAAATGAGTCCCTTTAAGTTTGCAGATACTCCTTACTGATGAGTACCACCTGGCACGAAACCTAGGTCGGAGGCATCCTACCAACTGCCTCCAAACATCCAATACCAGCAATTCACAGTGCACCGTGATGGCGAGCCACCTAGCATGGTGGCCACAATGCAAACTTGACTGATAGAATTCAGTCTGCAGCAAACAAAGGACTAGACATCGCATGATACTAGTTACTGACTAGTGTCCAATCAAAAATATCAGTGATTGATTAGTACCAGTGAAGGCAGCAGTGTTTCAAGACATAACAGCGATACTCATTCTGAGTGCCAGCTTTGCTTCTATTAGATCAAAGTAGAATAATGGTAGGTCAAGCCTCCTCTTCAATTTTACTACAGAGGGAAAAGAACTTCCGAAAATCATTTTAAGTTTTGCTAATCCCATATACTCTTATATTTAATGGGCATTGCTGCGTGCAGCCACTAATTATTCGGTTGAGTTGTTATATACATAATCGGTACAGATTGTTCATTATGTAAATAGTCCATACACCTGTGTTTAAAAATGTGAAGCAATTTGCTTACCTTTTCACAGAGTTGTAAGTTGAATGGACATGTATTCGGCTGAAAAGTGCCCAAACGTAGAGATCCTCCACCGGTTAGTTGGACTGCTTCAGGGTTACTTAGGAGGTTTACTGAATCTGAAACAGAACTATTTCTAATTGCTCCAGGCTTTGAAATATTTCTTGAAACAGCATCACGGATTGTAGATAATGGTGGATTTATCATATACCTGCCAAACCACACATTGCCAGTTATATCATGTAGATGTGGAACGCCTAATAATCCGATTTGCTGATTGTATTCTTTCTGACTCAATAATCTATTGAAATAAGTTATATCACCTAGTGCATAATGACTCATTTCCCATTGAGCTTCATTCCCATTGCCTTGTTTACTTTCATAATCCGCATCGGACGATGACAACCAAGTTGACTGGTCATCTGTATTAAATCGTCCGAGTACGACATAAGGTGGTGATTCACGTGGTTTATAGACCTTATTACCGTTGGGAAGCATACTGCCAAAATTGACACCATCTAGTAATAATGTTAATCCAACATCTCCACGCCACAATACACCAATATTTATCCATCGTCCTGTAAAGTTTAGATATACTAAAGTATACTAAAGTGCATAGAAATGTTCATTCATACAATCCAAACCAGTAGGTTAATTGTGTAACCCAAATGCATAGAACTAACAATTCAGATGTGTTGTTATGATGTCATTTAAATACAGAGAAAATTGACCCAAATTCCATATTACCTATTTACCGAGTTAATACACAGCACTCCTGAAAGTCATGATGGAATATGCAGTTTGTACGTCGGCGTTTCAGTTAATAACTTCCCTTCTTGTATTCTGGTGATTTTATCAAAACTTCCATCCATTCCTTGTACTTTAAAGCATAAAAGACAATTCTGATGAAAATTGTCAACTCAAAAGCTGATTCTCTGTTATAATATACGTATAAAAGTAGGATATTGTGAGCATAACTCCAGGTTGGATTGTTTATTTGAAATTGTTCTCAAACTCATAAACATATTGAAGTAATAACATCATCTAAGTATACGTCTTTGTACTTCTAGAAATTCTTATTCCTTTATTTTAATTATTTTCAGAATTTCTCAAATTCTGATTAAATTAGAATAATATGAACACAACCTTCACGACATGATTATAATCAATATATTGTGACCAAAACGTCATCAAATATAAGACAGTGTATCACTGTCAAATATGAAATTATCTATCTGATTATATGCTGTAGGTGCTTTCTCATCAGATCTACATCTTCACGAGGTGAGGGAATTACCGACAACTGCCAATCCTTTAATATTCACGTATATTTCGTTCAGAAATTTCAGAGTGTTTCAATCCTCACCAACCGGTTTGTGTCACAGACAAGTACATAATGTGATTCATTTATAGTAATTCATATCTAAAGAACATCTTCCAACTTAATGTTTTCCACACTACTTTATCCTGACTTTTCAGACTTGAAAACTAGATCTATTAAATACTTCTAACAGTTATAGTCATTACACCAAGGTACAAGGTCACTTCACTTCTGAAGTAAAATAAATAGAGTAGCATTGACGGGCTACGTGATGGTTCTTTTCAGTTTCCGATTGTTGTATAACTTGTTAAGGAGATCAACCAGATGACTTTGAATAAAACGATTGTAATCTATTACAGCGTTAGAATTAAATCCACGAAATGCTCAGGATTCTGTGCTATTATATATAGTCATTATTATTAGGATATATAATATGTATTTATATATATACAACAACCTAAGCATTTGAATTCCTTCAAAGTGGATTATTTGTGCATCGGTGGTATAGCGGTTAGGACTCTCGCCGACCATGCACATGGTCCGGGGTTCGATCCCCAGCCGTCTCACTCCCTTACCTCGCTGAGCCAGAAATAATGCTGGTAAAGAGGAAAGGTTGGGCATGAGGTTAGCAACCCCATCCTGTAAAATAAACACTGCTACAGAAACTTCAAGCCCCTAGCTTGAAGCCCTATGTTACACTAGGGAACGTGAAGGAGAAAAAAAGTAACTAAAAAGACCGTTAGTACTACTTAGAAACTTCATGGAAAGTTTCCATTAGTGTTTATAGCAAGCTAATATTCAAAGTGACCTACCAACTTTATAGCTGCTTGAATCGAGGACTAATTGCCAAGTAAGCGAAAATTGTGATACTGAGACGCCGATTAACGATGTATCCGTAAATAGTGATATTCCTCGGAAATAATTCATTGTTGATGAGCTAGTGCCACCGTCACCAGAGTTAAAATAAAATCTTAGTCGATTTTGACTGACAGATAATAACTTAATCCATATTGACATTGAAAAGCCACGAGCATTACAAGCAGTCAAACTCGGTTCATGTAAACACTTCCCTATCCATATTAGATTGGTCGGTACTACCTCAGAGGATTTACGAAGACCTATAATGACAACAATAATGAAGATAATAACCATTAACTATTAATTCTAACTTAAGTTCAATTAACTTATATTACAATAAAAGACACTTATGAAACAGCTGCAACTCATTTGACTAGCTTAGATATCTTGGCAATCGTTTTTTTGGTCTGTTATTGCCTATTGATAGGTGGTTTTATCACACAGAAGTTACAAATTGTAAAACCTTTAAGATTTTTACATGCATTTATGTCATATGAAAAAAAATATACTCATGCTGACCGACATCTGGGATGTTTTATTTAACTGTAATCACTAGTTGTGACTTAATGTTAACTTATCTATCTTATTTCTGATCATAAATGAATTCGTTCTTAGTTATGCGCATTTCATGACATTTAGCTCACAAACAAGACGACAAGGTAACTGAAGTGTAAACATATATATATTATTAGAGAGAAGTTTCTAGAAATTTAATCGACAAGTTTGTAGTTAGGGCGGTGACAAATAATTAGTAGTACGTAAAGTACTTCAATAAGAGAAGATTAAAATTTGGTGTGCAAGAGGTCAGATGAAAAGATGATGAAACAATATCATAAGGTCAAGAAGAATTGTCAGACAGAAAAAAAGAGGGGGAGGTTGAAAAGGTAAGTTAGTGAAGTTAATCCCAGCCACCATGTCATCCTGATGTTTTATCTCACCATGGCACTCATATAATATGCTTGCTGATGGACAAAAGTATGTTAAATTTTCCGCTGATTTTTATTTAGCGATTTGAAAGACTTCCATGACCCACTGACAGTTAAAGGAATTAGTGAGTTTCTATGATATTCTGTCAGGCTTGCAGAAGCGAATTTTAATACTGATTTGTATTTATTATAGAATATAGGTTGTGTGCAGCTGATGAGAACCAACGAAATAAAATAGAACCATCTTATTCCGCACCAATGTTTGTCCTTTCTCTGCTCAAATTTATAAAAGGGAATTCTTGTATGAAATTACTGTGGAAAATTTCACTACACTGGCAGGTCACACTCCATCTAAGCAAACCTCTCTACGACGACCACTACTATTACAACTACTGTCCACTACCACAAGAGGTTGGATCATGCCATAACTTGTATTTTTGCTGAGCTTTTTTAAAAAGGGAAAATGAAAGGAAGAAAATTAAATAGAAATCATGTTCTTTAGTAGCTTACGCAGAATTGAAGGGATTACTTCCAGAAGAGGGAAGTGCTCATCTGAAAAACTGAAGACTGCTTATTTAAGTCATAGTACAGAGGCTGTTAGCTATAACTCTGTATATGTTTCTGAAACAGTATAGCCGATGAGTGCCAATAAGTACGAAGCATATCTTAGGACTCTGCAAAGTACCACAATGTACCGTAGTGCACTGTTTGTGTAAAGCTTAGCATGCTGTTCTACTGAACATAACCAACTATTCAAACAAAAGACGATGTCACATCCCACTGTATCTACTAATTTAAAAGTACATGTGTTCACAAATAAATAGGGAGAACTCATCGATTTCTGAAAGTAAGGGTTTCAGACCCTATCTCCAAATGGTTTCAGAAGTAAGTCTAATCCTCTGAACCCATTAACGATGAAAACAAGTGACGTGGCTCTTCCATTGAGAAATATATAAATACGAGGCGAAAAACTGATGTCTATACTTTTAATCCTACCGACAAATTTTATTTGAGGCACATCCGAAAGTTTGTGTAAGCCCAAGCGATTACAAAGTTTAAATCACCTTTATCTGTTCAAAAACAACTGGTTGTCACATTAAACCTTCCTTGATAAACGTTATTTTGATACCAGTACAGATGTACCACCATCTCCCTTCTTTGGTTTATTGATCTCAATTGTTGTTTTTATCTTCAGTTTGTCCGCTTAACTTGACCTACGTCTATCTCTAACTCTTTAACGATTTATTATTTTCCTACGACAAGTGTAACGACAGAAGACAAGGGCAAGGCAACAGATCGCTTATTGAGGAAATCAACAGATATTTATATATTTTTATGTACACTATTATTCGTTATAACTAGCAGAGAAACAGCGTCTTCTGATTGGTCGTTATCTCACTGGAATTTATTCTGTCATCTCTTTGTGTCCGTTTCTTTAAAGGTCAGACCATATATCTTCTAATCGTGTTCACTCACGCAAGGTCTTTGTTCTTGTTTTTCTCATCACCAAGATTTGGGAATAAAACATTGACGTAAATTGCTGTCTACTAATTTGGCTAGCAGACAGCTCTCACCACACAAGTGCGTGTATGATCAGATTGTTCGAATTTTGATGCGCAAATACATTACACGATTCAGATAAGTTACGTCTTCCTACTGTTTTGGAGTAACTTTATTCAATAAAAAGACTCTTAAAACAATCTTAGGTTGGACACTTTCAATGTGTCGGTAATCTTTGTAAGATTTCAACTAGTTTGTTAAATAAGTAACAGTAAGGTTTCCCTAACCTCTGTAACTGATTATGTATCTTGTTATTGAAAGCAGGAACATATTGTGCAGAATTCTTTCTTAATTACTTTCTTTGTGAGAATAATAAGTCCTAGAGTTCGAATCCCTTAAAGCAAATAATATTATAAAAGCAAACTACTGGGTTTAAATGTCACACTAGAATTTCTGTTTTTATATTCTTTCAGCTCTAAGTTTATATTAACGTACCAAGAGGAAGAGTATTGTTAAAGTTCTGCTCGAAATATACTGGGAACTTTCTCTTTACATCGTTCACTACAGAAAACTCCAGTGAAATATTTCAGAAGGTAGGCATCATTTGAAATTTTTTTTAAAAACTGATCGAATGTTTAATGTTGTAAATTACCAGAAATATTCATTAAACTGCATTTTTGTTTCGTATTATAAAATTACATGTATTCAACATTCGTCCCATTAGGAACAAAAATGCATCTCAACAAATGTTACTCCCAAAAACTATCAAAATGCAACTCGATTCTCAGCTAACTCTTTTATATTTACATATAGTCTGTAGTGCAGAAATAAACAAAACTAGTTAGGCCAACTCATCTAGAGTTCATTAAGATATTATTTGATTTTATCCCTCAATAGCTGAAACCACAAAACGAGTATGTCAAATATGAGTTCAAAATTTATATACTCAATAATTAAAGCCCTTAGTCCCTTAAAATCAAGCGGGTTCTAATCAGTTATTACAATTCTCTAAAAGGTGACACAAAATAAAAGTAAACGGTTTACACTTCATACCTAACATCATATACTGTTGCGGTTTCATCCCGAATACGGGTACTGTGGATTTGTTCTCATGATCAATTTCAGTGAAAGGAAATTCGACATGTTTCGATTGAAAAATTGAAGCAAGTGAATAACCAGGTATCTCTGTTAAGGAATAATCATTTTCCGGCTGTAAGTAATTATACTTCCTTCTGACTTGCATTTGTGCATCGCTATCATAGTGTATATATGGATCAGGTGTCCAATAGTAACTGGCATTGTGCAAATTTTCTAGTTGACTTCCTATTTTTTGTTTCACAGAAGAAGAATACTTGTTTACCGAATACAATATCAAAATAGGCATTAACGAAATGTTGTCAAATTAAAGGTGTTTTAATCTAGTTTAACCAGAATTTTATCGAACGCACTAATTTTAATCCCTTTTCTGTTTATCATGACACTGTGATTATAGCATCGTAGTCCACTGCTATAGTGGTTTAATGACAGGTCATATTTTTGTGTTTTGTAACTAAAAAGTGTGCATTAAAAAGTTTTATTATGAAGTACTTATTATCGGGGGTATTACATTCTTAAACTGAGTGACATTTGTTGCACTTTTACCAGAAAATGCTGCTTGATTCTGATATATAATGGATTAGAAGAGGCAGTGAGTTCAAAAGTTAAACTTATATTATTGATTTTTCATGAAATCATGCTTGCATATTGTAGCTTGTTTATTTGAACGCCGTAATAACCAATGAATGAAGGCGGGGCCACCTCAAAAAGGAGATATGTCCGTATTCAGAGAAAGGTCTTTTTAAGGAATTTATTATCAAGTTGTACATTCGTAAATAATATGTATATATATTGCTTAAGAAACTGCATACTGTGAGAAAATTTGTCACTTGATGCTGAATTATGATTATAACCACAAACATTTTATCACATTTCACATTATCACTTTTAAGTATTTACATCTTTAAATTTTCTCATGGCATCACGTCGCAGTCTTTGATCACTCAAAAGAATACTGCTTCGAAGTGCAAAAAGGAATTCTCGCATGATGAAAAAATACCATCGGGTTGAACAGGTGGAAACTAATACAGCCCACTTTGCGACTGTATGTGTGGGATAACGAACAGAATAACACTTCATATTTTTTAGATGATAGCAGAATTTACTAGACTGCCGTTTCTAGTAAATGACGGACAATCTTAGCTTCAATCAAACCAAAGTAATCTTTTTCAATCTCTCCAAGTTACTTATCTGCACTTTAAGGCTGACAGGTGCAAAATCAGACTGCAAATAGTTTTACTTAACACTTTTTTCTACTTGGTAAGTGAAGTAATACTGCTCAGTAATAATTCTGTGTGAAATAATTTAAGCTACCATGTCAAAAAGCCTCAATAAGGTGTAATTCTGACTTCATAAATAAGTTTGATCTTTCGTTGAAATTCACGGAGTTTTACAGGGCGCATTTAATGCAAGGCATAACTGGACTTTTAGCTTGGAAGATCCTGCTGGTCGAAGTACGTGAAGCTACGGTTTATTCAAAACTACAGTAGATGGAAACGTTAAAAATTATTTTTGGAAGGTTGACATTCAAGACTTCACTTCATCAGGCAATTTACAAAAGAGCACTTTTGGCGTCTACAGAAGAATATTAAAGTTTACTGACTGCCAGAACACAGTTGCTTCAATTTTTAGTTTTTTTTTCGCTAATTTCTCTTGACCAAAAATGAACCACAGATAGTTTTGCGTATAAATGACTTCTCTTCTTTACGATATTTTTCGACAATTGTAACTCGATTTCTAGCCTTCAACGTTCCACTAGCAAAGGTGACATCACTAGCATTGAGATTTTGAATTCTCTTTGAGAAAATGAAATCCTCAAAAAACAATTAAACTGAGAATCTTCTTTAGAGAAGTTTTCCTGTTCTTGATACAGAAAATTTCTGATTATATTTTCTGGTCCTGATGTCAAAAATGGTTTAAGTGATTCATTCGCCCAATATTAAATAACCTGACTTACTTGTGTAACCTACGAAAAGATGAGACTCAAATGAATCCAGCCATCTATACCACAGAATGAAGTCACTGAGGCTTATCCCAGCAGCGGTCCTACTCATTTTCGAACTCCCAAGAATCAATCCTTGAAGGCAGGTATCAGTTTTTTTCAGTGGAATCTCTGTCGGTGGCAGAACTTGATCAGCAGGCATTTTGATACCATTGAAATAAACGGCAACAACAGGATTCATAAAGCCTGATACAGCTACGCCAAGATTAAACCAAACGTCTTTCGGTACAACATTATATACACGAAAGACTACCAAACCCTTGGTCGTATTAACTGAAAAAGAAGGAATAAAAAGCGAAACTGCAAGCTGTGATTTGTAATTAACTTGTCTACAATTTTTAATAGTTTTTCAACAGTTACTGGAAAAAAAATGTTGAAATCCAAGAAGCGCACGGCAGCCGTTTCGTCTGAGTTTGGGGCTCGTTAGCAGTATGCCATAATAATCCTCTCATTCCAATAAAGTCAACCATACGTTTGTTAAATGCATTAATAGCTAGTTTGATTAGTGAGATTTTCCTTTAATTGAACTTTATTTGCCACGTCATTTGACGTCAACTGCCGAAATAAGAACCTGGAATTCGCGTCATTTGTCAAAATATGTATATATAATTCAGCAACCACTACAGTGTAGTTTCTTCAAAATCACACGAGACCATTTTTCGGATTATTATTTAGAATCATCAACAAATGGGTGCACCACAACTCATAAAGTTTGTTATCATTATCTCTATGGAGTTATACACTACCATAGTGCCAAAGTTATATACATATATTAAAGTTTGGTGCATTTCTTCACAATACATCTGTCAACGTTGGTGAGCATTGAATAGTTTGCTTCTGCGACTGGTCTTCATTTGATGGGAGACAAGAAAGCTGTCATTGCTTAATTGTGTACTGGTTGACAAAAGATTGGTGAAATACGATCAGAATTTTCAGCACTGATTAGTCAGTGTAAATCTGTTTCTTTATCGCTTGAAGAACAAATAATCGTGTTCCGCAACCGTTTCCTATTGTTTTGCGTCGTTTACAGTGCAAAGTGTTCTACTTATTAAGCTTAATCTTCTGAAACCAGAAAAAGGTTCAGGATCTCAGCTATCTGGATATCGGACAACATCTATGCAATCAAATGATTTATTCGACACCCAGATGTAAAATACTTCAGTCTTCCAAAGATAACATTTCAGCCTTTTCAAATAATGTTCAAATCAACGTTATTTATTGCAAAGTGCACGGTAAAGTTAATTTCAACACTTCTTTGGAGCCTACAAATTCGGTGATATTCTTAAGTTTGTTGAATCCCTAACCAAGAAAGTGCCTAAGGATATCTTATGTTTTCATAAATTATTTGTTCTTATTAAACCTTCTACGGTAATCAAATTTTTGAACTATGTTGTTTTATTATCACTATTGTTCATTCTTATATTTATATATGATTCAAACCCTTAATTACCACTTTGACTCCGATCAGTTTTCATTTTGATGTTTTAAACTCTGTTAACTATTATGCAAATTGGTTAGAGGATTTCATCATGAGCTCACATCAGTTAGAGAACCATTGGAAAACGTGGGAGTACTGCAAATCTGTTTCGTTCTAGTGCTCCGGATTCTTCAGCAGTACGCATTTATCACAGGGGGTTCAAACCCAAGACCTTCTGGCTACAAGGCGAGCTCGTAGACCACTATGCCACTGGCACCCGATCCAATGGCCAGCCTATGAATTCCCACTTCTTCTGATTCATGACATAGCGTGGCCACTTCGCAATGTCTTCCTCGATGAGTTACTGCCTCACCTTTAACCTGCTTCAGCCCGCTGGTCACGGTTTCCCACTAGAACCCCAGGTAACTGCCTGGATAGGGCCAGTCACTAGTGAGCATCAGTTTGATTTTCAAGTATTCGTTTTTGTAGGGATTTGTTTGATTGGTTGGAAGATTTCATCATGAGCTGACATTAGTTAGAGAACCAATGGAAAACCTGGGAGTATTGTCAGCTCATGATGAAATCCTTCAACCAATCAAACAAAATCCCTACAAAAACAAATGTTATGTAAATATCCATATGTTGAGAGTGTTTAAAACGTGTTGTGCCAATACATAACACGGGTCAGGAGAATAAGTTATTCCCATAATTTTTTCACAACACACAAAGTGAAATAATTACTTTAAAAATGTGAGTTCAATGATTTATCTAACACAAAAGACTTTTGAGATTTTCTCAGAATGTGGTCATTCTATGTACAACACATGAGATACATATTCATTCATTTACTAATCCAATTCAAGAGAAAATAAATTTCATAATGGAATTATACTCTACCACAGAGCACAAGTTTTATTCTTATATCAGAAAATAAATTTGGTCAGATTGTGAGTAATCTCACATTCGTAATGACTGACTATGTCTGCTTTATTGTCAATGTTATTCTTGATGAATAACGTAGCAGTATTAATTCAGGTATATTTAACAGAACAAGGAAACTTTGCCTGAAACTAAAACACCAGTTAAGTCGTAAACCTGAAAGAATGATTCAAAAAGCACAATAGGTTACTTAGGAAACTATATGACAGCAAAGAAGGGTGAACGATGAGTGCTCAACAGAATAATAAAAAGAACTCAAGTGCAATTCACCTCCTGCGAATCTGCAGCCTCAACTTCATTGTTTCTTATGAAAAAGCAATTCAAAAGGCATTTCTCAACTTCAATATTACTTGGGAAACTAAGTGGAAAACTTCATCATTTCATGTAAAATTCCACTCATAAGTGTGTTCACTTACTGAAAATGTTGATGTAATTATTGTAAACCGATACAGTGATACCATTAACAAATTCTAAAATATCCAGTATAACTGAACTGGTATTCAATTCTGTTGGTATTTTAATCCAAACTCCAATCGATAAGCCTTGAGAACACAAATTCAAATTCCCGGGACAAACACTTTGGTCGAATGAATCCATCTGAAAAAAAGTTTGGGTGGGAAGAAACAGTCATCAGATAAAAGTTTTATTTGACAAACTATATGCAAAGTTTTACCTAGTCTGTAATAACTCTTCTGTTATTTTTCATTTCTGTTGCATAATACTTTAAAACGTGTTATGTGTCAACTTAAAACGGAACTGTATTTAATTAAGAGTAGATTGTGAGCACTGTGGTAGAATATCTAGTTCCATATTAGATAAATTTATTTGATTAAACATACAGTGATACGGAATTGATAACTGTGTGGTGAGAGCTGTCTACTAGCCAAATTGGTAGACAGTAATTTACGTCAATGTTTACGTTCTCAAGATTTGTCGTGAGAAAATGTGAACAAAGATTGATTCAAAACCGACCACAGCAGACTTTGCGTAGGCGGATACAGTTAACATATAGATGATCTGACATTCAAGAAACAGTCACAAAGAGATGAAAGATTAATTTTAAGTGAGAAACAATCAGTCAGAAGACTGTGTTTGTTTGCTTAACTAATCTATAATAATGTACATGAAAATATATAAATATGCTTTGATTTCCTTAATAAATGATCTGTTGCCTGGCCCTTGTCTTCTGTTGTTACAACGGGATGATGTTTTGAGCACAATTTATTAGGACATTAAGTATTTAAGCTAGCTAATTCTTTCAAAGCTAAACTCTGTCGGCCTAAGAATCCCACAGATCCAATTAACAAAAATAATTTAATTTCCCAAATACCATGTAATAACTGTAAGGTGAATTACACAGGTCAAATTATTGGAAACTTAACCAGGCATAGATAGAATGACTGACCCTGCAGAGTTAAATAATCTAAAAAAGGCTTGGTCACTGCAACGTATTCACTTGCGTATTACTTATATCTCAAAATTATTAAACAAGTTATGTATAAATGTTTATTACTGATTTCCCCAGGAGATCACGGGCGAACACTGCTAGGGTATACTAAATTAATATATAGTATCTATTAGGCGTTCTGTGTTTCTCAATAATCCTTTAAATGACACCAATTACTGAGTAATAATTAGACAAATGGCACTTGGACTTGTGTAAAATTTCTATCAAAAATCAATCATATTTACATGAAAGCTATTCCTATATGTGGAGCGAAATTTTCAGCTTACCTCAAAACAGCTATCAGGTTCAGTTAACTGGTAAGCAGTTTTCAATTTAGACCGATCGACTACTAGTTTAACATTATTTCTTGAGTAATTTGTCGTTAAATTTAATAACGGATTGTAATAATCAGCGACTTGGTAAATAGGATTTAAAACTTTGCTAATTTCTTTACTTGGTATAAGCTCTTCCACTTCATTAGTGTAATCAGCATAACTTAATTGAGGTGGTTGTGTAACTGGTTGTTCTGCGACCACTTTGTTTGTCAATAAATAGTTATCTGTTGAAGGAATTAAAACCAGATTAGTACGGATAAACTACAACTGAATTGAATAATTTTGTGTAGAAAAGGGGAAAATCAGATTAAAGTCCGAGCATATGTGCCACACAACAACTATTTATCAATGAAACTGATACGAAGAGTGACCCAGAAATCGCACTAAAGTTAACATAAGAATGTTTATAGTATAAAAAACACCAAAACGTTATGACGCATAGTACTTTCTTCTTCGTTTTGATTGTGAATATTGCAGCAAATATACTGGCTCTTATGAGATATGAAGAGGTCATTTATGCGTGAAATTCAAGATGACTTCTTACGAATTCAGGTCAGTAGTGTGTTTTCTTAAATGAGTACCGTCAAGTAAACTTGTTTAATTAGTAATAGAGAAAATATTTAAAAAAATAAACGCATTCAAAATGTATGTAAAAACTACATCATTAGTAGCAGAACTCAGTGAAACAACCTACTATCTCCGATATGTCAGTGATGCGTTTGTTGTTTGTAATGATATTAATCAAGCATCTGTATTATCTGAATATCCTAATGAGATCCACTATAACATTACCTTCACCACGGAATATAAAGATAACGATGAGTTCAATTTCCTAAATCTTAATATAAGAAGAAGAAACGATGGTATGATCAAAAAGACCATCAAGAGAAAGGAAACCTGGACTGGATAATATCTTGACTACCACAGCTTCTGTCCTGTAGGGTATAAGAGTAGATTAGTGAGGACTCTGTGCAACATAGCCAGGAAGTTATGATCACCCAACAAGCTGGAAGAAGAATTAGACTTTGCTGAGAAATGCCAAACGAAAAATAAGTGGCTATCCAAAGGGTTTTATTTTAAAGTTTAGCGAAGAAAAAGACGAGAAAACTAAACGCTCAGTTTTTGAAAAGAAAGAATTGTTTGCCTCCCATTTAAAGGAGAGGCAGTATCACAAAAGATTGAGAAGCGAATGAAGGGAACAGTAAAAAGATGCTTCTCTGCAGCTAAGCTCGTCGCACTATACAGCACCATATTCTCTATAAGCCAATCTAAACTGGATAAGCGCCCCACTGATTTCATTAACAAGTGCATCAATAAACGTACATGCACTTGATTCTGTAGGTACATTGGAAAGGCATAAAGAAAGGTTTCTATCCGGTTTTCAGAGCATATCCCAAGAAACTTATGTCTAAAAGGAAGCAAAAATACGCAAAGTGCAATTATCAGACACCTTGTGGATACGGGTCATTTCGTCGAGATTTCCATAACAGCATAAGAGCAACAAATTTACTACAAAATGCTGAAGCGATTGAAGTCAAACCTCTTGAACTAAACATATGCATACAGAAATAGCGTAATCAATCTCTCACTCTTTCGGTAACTGCATTTTGATTATATTGATTAGTCATCCATATTAGTAATATCAGCTCACTGAGCAAGTTTCCAATTATTTGAACTATAATGTTCTCGAGTTGCTACGTAAACGTACAAGCTAGAACTGTTCATTTGATTTTTTTTATTTTTTCTCCTTTCCCCTCCTTTTCTTCTTTGAAAGCATACAAACTGATGGCAAAACTTGAAGTGGAAATTGTAATGCTTACATTTTGGATGCATTGATTTTATACTATTTTCTCTACTATCATTCATACACTGAAGTAAGTTGTCATCATTATTAATAAACATTGTAATTCCAAATAGTTTGCAACTGATGAGAATCTGTGAAATAGAATTATATCATTTAATACTGTAAATTTGGTCTTTCTTTGTTGGAATTTATCAAGGGAACCAAGTGTACGAAATATAATTGTTTTCGGAGTTAATTGGTGGATGCTGACTAGCAGTGGAATCAAGCATGCGCGTTTCTCCCTGCTAGGGACTCGTCATCTGGATGTACCTGCATTCCCCAGTGAGTGATGATATTCCCACCGAGGCTCGAACCCAGTGACCATAGTTTCAAACGCCAAATGTATTCACTTTAAGTTGGTTCCTTCGGAAATAGATATCAGCTATCCAGTGGTATTTAGTTTCCAATGGTTCTCCAGTAGATTTAAATCCATGATTAAATAAATCGAATAATTAAATCTGAACAACCTTATCAGAAAGTTCTCATTTTATTGCCGATATATGGATGACACCTTTATTCTTTGTGATAATGCTTCCGATAGGACTACAATAATTACTGAATTCAATGAAGTACATCCGGCTATGAAATTCACATGCGAGGAGGAATCCCAAGACAGAATTGCCTTCCTCGATGTCCTACTTACAAGAAAACCAGACGGAAGCATAAAAAGAAGTTTACATAGAAAAAGTACATGGACGGGACAATATACACACTTTCATAGCTTCGTTCCCATCAAATACAAAAGGAATTTGGTGAAGACCCTTAGCCACAGAGTTAGAGCTATATGCTCTGAGGAAGTAATTAAAGATGAATTAGACATTGTATATGATACTTTTATTGAAAATGGTTATCCTGACAAGTTTATCAAGAAACATATGACGAAGAAGGCCGAAAAGGACGACCCACTATCTGTAAAGAAGAAGCCCCTTTATATACGACTACAATTCAAGGGCGATAAACCAAGTGAGTTAATTACAAAGAAATTAAGAAAAGCAGTTCAAAGGACTTTTAATGCTGGCGAACTACACATCTTATTCTCTACAAGGCCGATGGTGCTACCTCGACTGAAAGATGAAGTACCTAGACTGGCCACTTCAAATTGTATTTATCAATTCAACTGCGCTTGTGGAGCGAGTTATGTTGGCCGTTGCTCTAGGAACTTGATTTTTCGTGCTCGAGAACATATCCCACTATGGCTAAGCAAAGGTGTAGTTAAAAGTATTAACAGCTCCATATTAGACCATCTGGTGCAAACCGGTCACAAAGCCAGCGTAGACGAATCCTTCTCCATAATATACCGGGTGCCCAACAAACTACCAAAATCGTCGAAGCACCGCTTACTCCAAACAGCAGAGGCTATTGCAATTCGCCTCAAACAACCAGCGCTCTGTGTCCAAAAGAAACAAGTCCAGCCCCTACTACTGCCCTGGCCCTCAGTAGAGACTATAAACTCATGAATTTGTACCATTACCTTTCCTAATTCTTCTGACATTCAGTTTATTTGATGTTGATGCTGTTCAGCTGTAATTTACCAATATTATTGATTTGATGTTATTTAAACATTAATGTCGTTCATAAGACTAATTCATTCATTAATTATAATGTATATATAATTGTAGAACCTGATGATGAATTTATCGAAAAGAGTTCTCTTTGTTCAGTGTCTATTCTTTTGTAAATCATAAGTTTTCAAAAAAAAGAAGAGTTTATTTTGTTTCGGCTTTGACCACGGATTGAAATCACTTAGATAACCAGTAAAAACTAGGTAGTACTGGACAGCCGTTTCGTCCTAGTCTGCGACTCATCGACAGTACGTATCCACTGGAGTCCGGACGTTAAAATCTTGTTGATTTGTTGCTAGGCTTTTGTAATTAGAAAAAATCAATGTGTTCAATGATAAACTCATAAAGAAGGTCCGTTTCCGAAAATTCGGTATACAGACATGCTTGGCATTTATTATTCTTTTGTAGCTAATCTTAAGTTTTTGAGTATTTCAGAAGTTTCTGCTTAGAACAGTTTCGGATGACGGCAGATTTTGAATTTCATGTGGACGTCAAAACGACTATCACTTCTACATTGATTCTTTTCAGATTCACACGTGAAAATGCTGTGTGGGAGAGGCTGGTTTCAGGTATCTACATTCACAATTTAACATACATTCAATGTTCGTTTCAAGTTAGATCACGAGTAGATGTAATCGGCGCTTATTCCTTTTCCCACTAGACCTGGTGGACTTAGTGGGGCCATTTGATTATGTCCCAATGATTGAATAATCCACCAGCTCGCCTCCCAACGTAACTATCTGGGGTTCAATCTATAATGGAGTCATGGGTACAGAGTAGTACGACGAAACTAATGTCCAGTACTTGCTGGTTTTCAACAGTTCTCTAAATGATATCAATCTGTGATGTAGGCTGAAACACATTAAGTTTCTTGTGATTGTGCGAAGAAATGTGAATGATGATTTGTTTCCATGTTTTATTTTTGCATCTTTTTAAATGTCAGGATTTCTGAAAACTCAGAAAATGATTGTATAGTGAGGACTTTCAACTGTAAAAGCCTCCAGTAGACAAACACTTTACATAAAGCAACAAGAAAAATTCAAAATCTTTCAGAAAATGGTTTATGTTAGGAAATCTGGTGAATAACCCACCTAGGCCTCCAATGAATATTTCATCCAACTGTATTGGCCAGTACCATAAAGCGATTGCAGCGACTTTCATTCCCGGATTTACTGACGAGGAAATCATCTTTCCATTTATATCAATACTACAACCAACCAATATTGATGTGGGTGATAAGTTACTGCCCACATAATTATCTCCTTGGTAGAAGGTTTTCATGGCCACTCTTTTTCCATTTATCACAATCTAAAGCAAGGAAAATAAGATTTCTAGATTTAGACAAAATCACTTCGACTGTCTGATGAAGAGTGTTGAAAGAATAGAAGTTTCAAAAATGCTGAGAATTTCTTCGTCCTACTATTCAGTAAGGCTGACTCCTAATTATATTTATGCCTTTGTTTATAGAAAATTCCCAGTAACACTTAAAAAGAGCAACAACTGTGAAAAAGCTGTATGTAGTGAACTCATGAATTTCAGTAGGACTTGACAGATGGAAACTCTACAAACATTGTTATTTATGCAGTTTTTCAAGGTTAAATAAGTACATATACATAAACACTGTGACAACAAATAAGTATCAGTTTCAACAAATATACGATCTATGAGTGATGAGTGATAATCTGTCAACATTATTTTTATGTTAATAATATTTATTTATTTATTCATTTTATGTTAATAATATTCATTTTTATGTTAATAATAATATAATATACGGATCAGAAAATTGACGGGTCACAAAGAATATTTCCAACAGGTTGCAGACCTTTATCAACAGCTGTCTTCGTTCTGTACTGAAGATCAGATGGCCGGAAAGAATCACAGACAAGAAACTATGGGAACAAACAAAACAAGAACCAATCGCTCAACAAATATGCAGGAGAAAATGGAGATGGATTGGACACTCGCTGAGGGGGCCGCTGGGTGACATCGCACGTCAGGCCATCGCTCGAGTGGAACCCGAAAGGGAAGCGGCGAGTGGGATGTCCAAGGGTGGCATGGAGGAGATCGTGTGAAGAAGAGTTGAAACAGTATGGAATAACATGTATGCAAGTGGAAAGTACATCAGAAGACAGAAGCAAGTGGATAGGTGCAGTTGAAGCCCTATGTTCCACTAGGAACCCAAGGGAACAATAATAATAATATTCATCAACGCACATATTAACATATAAATTGGAGTTATTGGGGTAGAATTAATAGAAAACGAACCGAATAAATCTGACACATGCAAACCATATAGGACTAAATAAATCCACCGGAGTCTACTGCTAGTCAAGTTAGACATCAGACATCGTCGAACCGTCCTCACTAGGAAACAAAATGTCAACTGAGACCGAACACTTCGGTCAAATCAATCAACGGTGAGATTAAATTTGGAAAACTGAAGAACAAATAATACGATTTTAACGTGTGTGATCTGAACCCATAAGACAGTTTGAACACTACTAACGAAGATTAATACTCATCTACGATTTACAATCAGCATATATCCTAAGAGAACTAACAGCATGTCAGACAAGTAATGATAATAATGATGGAGAAAACACTGTAAATAGAAAAGACTGTTTAACAAAAATGCAGGAAGTTATACATAATCACTAAGAATTTTAAAAATTTTAACCTTCCTTAGTTGCGAAAAACTTTATATCTCTGACTTTCATTTTGCAAACTATGAAGAGGTAAGGATAATGAACCATCTATTTCGTTAACAGCAGAAACAGTGTATGTTTAAGTTTAGTACACCATTTGTTGCAGTGAAAGTAATCAGTTCAAATATCAGAAATTTCAAATGTGTGTGTTAGCAACTAAGATCCACTCGGTACTCATTGGTCCTCATCCCTAAACAACCTTAATTCAAGACCAAAACGGGCCAGTTAAGCTAACATTCATATGAAATGTATTTCTGACGAACAGATCATGACTGAAATCGACTAAATAATAGTGGGAAATATGTAAAGAAAGCAGCTTACAAAACTATACACGTTATGTGAAACGCACTTTGTAGTGGTGTTTTGTAAATATTTTTGATAGAGTAAATTTCTGAAATAGAATGTTCCTTAATTGATACCTTACACAAAGGTGAAGTATTCATTATGTACTGATGATATTTAAAGCCCATGTTTTTTGCTCACAGTTATATTTTCTTCCAATAAAATGAAAGGATAGTAAATAGAAAGACCATATAAAGAAAATCCTAAAGTTTTATATGTTCCTTAGTATGATCATAACCAATAAACGCCCCTCAAAATGCCATCAGATAAACAATACTGTATCACTGTGTGTCACGTCAAATAAAGTTATTCTATTATGGAATAGCTATCATTATATGGTCCATAATTTTTATTTTGCTTTACGAGTTCATAGTTAATAGTGGAATCTACCCACGTGTTCAGAAGAAATTCTTATCGCTGCTTTCCTTACCTTAGACATTTTCACATGAATGTAAGCAGCTACTAAATCATGCTCTGGTTATCCAGTCCTTCAACATGTCTTGATTGGAAGTTAAGTGGTTATCTAGAGCTTCTCACCTTGGCGTAATTTGCTGTGGCTTATTGACAAGAGTGTATTCAACAGCATTCAAACCCTCGGTGACAGAAAAGTAAGAAGATCTACCTATCAGTCTTGCTTCAAAGTGAGCTGAAGTAAAACCAGATACGGTAAACTATCCAAGAACTCTTCAAGATGCTATGTAGAGTAAAAACCTGCCACTCAAAGATTATCTAGTTTCATGGATAAACATGAATTATGAAAGATAGTACATGCTTAGTCCGTAAGATTAGATTATAAAGATGATTTCACCACTATATATGGCCGACAATATTTTCATGTAGACTGCATTATGCCACCTCTGTAAACTGTTGCATCATGATCTTATGGTGCAAATTATTGTAGTATTACAGTCAATTAGTGGAAAACTGTGGATCAAGATTTATTTTCCAAAAATTACGCATTACAAAATACCACTTAAATAGTGGTCACTAATTTGTAATCTACCGATATACATTCAAAAGTTCATTATTTGTTAAAGTATGATTAACAAAGTATGATGAAATTATAGACTGAGTTATGTGATGAACAGCTGCGATTTGAATTTTGATTTACCTTTATATTTTGTGCACTTTTACCCCAAGCTACACCAATGTTAGTCCATTGATTTAGCGTCTTCGTTATTGGCGCTTGAACTGTCCATTGAGTACTTACGGATCTCAGTCGAAACTCCAACATACCACCAGTAATTAAGAGTGAAAATCCATTTGAATTTTCTGGAGCTACAGATAAATAAAATAGAAACAGGATAAAAGTTCGTGAACGTCTTTTATTATAAATTTACTTTGTCAGAATAAATCTTCGAAAAGTACTTGTCATTTAACTCAGATTCCAATATTCTGACAGTTCAATAAGGCTTGAATGGATTTCATGAGTCTAGGTTTCGTAAAGGCCCTGATTCATGAGAAATTTGTTTCCGAAGGAGGATATTTTAAGAAATGTCTACTGTAACCTTGATGACGAATGTGAAAATAAAATGATTACTCGTAGATCTCAAAATGAAGTGCTAATTTTACAAACCACATAATTTGTAAGTTTGTTTTGGATCAATAATGAAAGTTATGCTGAGGGGGAATTTTACTTCCAATGAGCCTAAGTTGAAAATGAATTTAAGTGTTTACATGTTAACTTCCAGGAATATTGTAAAACATTCTACTAACCTCAAAAGTTTACAACCCATCCATTTCGATAACTGATTTTTAATCTGTTGGTTTTTGTGAAAGTGGAACACCGAGATTTCCTACTGCATTTGTAACTACCTAAAGAATGTGATTTCGCAGCTTCAGCTAAGTGCGAAATTTCTACAGGTTTTTATTATTATCTTACATCGTGAACACTGATAATTTTGACAGCGTATTGTGGTTTCCTTCACAGTGGTCAGGTGAGTCAGGTGTGGCTGAATTCCCCTGAGCTGGCGACGATAATCATTACACTATTCAGCCTTTAGGTTTTGGTATACGCGTTACTTTTGTTATTCCATATTAGACAAGTTTATTTCAGATAGCACACGAAGACACAGTATCAACAACTGGATGACGTTTCGATCTCCATTTATTGCTCATAATCACATTAATTGTCACCACACAACTTCGACTAATGCGCTGTAATTCTGAGCAATAAATTTTGCTCAAAACACCATGCAGTTATCAATACTGTGTCACTGTGTATTATGTAAAATAAACTTATCTAATACGGAATTATATTCTACCACGTTACCCAAACCCTTGAGTTACACTAATTATTTTCGTTATCTTGATAACACAAGATAAAAGTGCTCACAATGAGGAGTTATTATATGAATAAATTTTTGAATAAATTTGTAACTAGCCGCAATATTTTCAATGGTGGTAACTGTTCACCAACTCAGATTAAATGCCTCATAAGAAAAACTGTATAAATATTGTTAGAAATTTTTGGATACCACTGAATCCCTTATTGGTAGTCAAAATGGTAAATAATGGTTAACAATAACTTACCAGTTGTTAAAATTATTTCCTTGGGATTCAAATTTTCAGTGGTAAATTGAAGCCATATTGATAAACTCAAGCCATAGTCACATTGTGTCACATCTAGCAAGCATTGTCTAAAGTAAAACCTTTCACGATCAATACTGTTCAGTAAGCTGATGCAACTTTGGTTACTTCCGTCTGAGTTTATATAAACACTTTGTTTATTGGGTTGAATACCAGGACCACGTATGCTGCTGTCTGACAGTGTTCCATTCAAAGGTGTAAATAAAGACTTTTTCGAATTTTTCAGGTCATCATTAATCGGTCCTGGTCGATACAGTTTCTCATCAAATGATGCTAATCTCTCATAAATAGACTTTGTCAGTATGTTACTTTCTGGAGCACGATCAGTGATAACAGATTTTCCATCGCCCTGCTCAAATGACCAATAGTGATTAGCTGTATTCTCATATCGGATATCTGTGTTTTAAAGGAAATGTAGGAAAGAAGGGAGAAACTCACAATGAAATAAAAAAACTACATTCGACCCAGTAGAATGCAGAAAGCGATCGAAAGCATTCAACCAATAAACACTGAGGTAAGCATAAGTCTGCGGTAGATAAGAAGCTAAGCACGTATTAAAAGCCTCCAACTGATTAAAAACAATAGCGATTTCCTAGACGGTTCCGGACAATACAGTTGGTGTAAAACGTTTTATATAATAAATCACTTTCATTTGCACATTCATCAGTAAAGATCAAAATATAGTGCCAGCAAAATTGTGGAGGTCATTTCTTGTAAATGAGTTAATGATGCAATTTACTCGTTATTAGTGAATTAGTATTGTTAAAGTCTAGATGTTTACTAGCGTTTCGCATTCAAGGGATCAACGATGAATTATGGTGGAGTATTATATGAATTCAGAGGTGAATAGTAATTTGTTGAATTTTCCTGACGTCAGTTAAATCGAATCATTGTAACAATTAATCTGAGTGTGTATTAAACTAGAAAACTGAATACAACTAGCAGGGATATGTCTTTTATACTTATTGGTGCTCTTTAATCAAGCTTATTTGTCTCCAATGAGATATATACAGTCCAGAGACTGCATTTAATCTCCCGCAGATCCCTTATGAATATATTTCATACACTTATTCCTCCTTATGAACCAGAATAAAATGAAAGCAACAGTTTGAGCAGAATAATATTTTATCATTCTGCTTTGTCGGGTTCTTAGCATGCGTATACAGCCTGGAAAGAAATATTTCTTGTTAAGAATACGTATCTTGTTTGACTGCTTTAGCCTAATCAGTCTCGTTATATTATAATTTGCTTCTTCTTCTTATAATTTGAGTTGAAGTCATCAAACAATTACTTAAAGTGTCAGTAACTTATCACCAGCTCATACTTCTCTTGCTCTCTTTTGCAACTCCACAATGGATAAGATTTTATTGTGATAAATCAAGTTGATATGATTATGAGCAATAGTTTGTGCTCGAAACGTCATCAGTTAATTTGAATGTACAACACTGTGTGTTTTATTAAAATAAAATCTTATCCATTATGGAGTTATACTCTACCACAGTGCCCAAGTTTTATACTCTTTTGCAACTCTTTTTCAGAGTTTTAGTGAAAAAAATATTAACTACAACCTTTTATATATTAGCTATACAAGTGAGAATTTTGAGCATATTTTATTATTTTTTGAAGTCTCTTGTCATCTGACCTCATAGTCACCCTTGCAAGTATGTTAAAAGTTTCTCTGTACACATACTCTATCAGAAATATTTTTTTCCAGGTTGTATGCGGCCAATCGAGAAACCGACGAGGTAGAATGGTAGCATATTATTCAGCTAAAACTGCTAATTTTGCTTTACTCACATGGATTTATTAATGTCTAACTAGAATATTATCATTGTTATTTTAGTTAGTTGTTAGTGTGGCCTACAATGAAACCTGAAAACTGAGATAAGGAGAAGTCTAATTTGATATCTACGATACCAGCTTGATGTAAAATATCTGCTAAATATCTAGGCAGAGTATCATTTAATAACCGTTTATAATGACATAAAATTTTATCTTAATAGTACGATATACGCAAATGTTTTAACTCATCAGTTATTGTATACAAGAATTAAGCAAAATAAATCTTACCGACCAAATCTTCATTCGGTGGTGGATAAAGTGGAACTGGTGGTGGCACTATTTTTGGACCAGAATTATCTTCAAACGATGGTATTTGCTCTGTAACCATTGGCACAGTGGTAGGAGTAGTGGAAATCGGAGTGGTTGTAGACAGTGTTGTTGCTTTTGGTAAAAATTTGAAACAGGAAAACTATTATTATCCACTATTTTTATCAGTTGCAATGTTTCGAATCTGCTTTCACTCATTCAAGCCTCTTTTAATAACATATTGATTACTTAATAGCACTGAATATTGTACTTAGGTGTCTACAAATCACGTTGTTGCTGTTAAAGAAGGCTTTATTCAGAGCTGAATATCATTATCGATGAAACTGCATAACTGGCTTCAGGTGCTAAATTCACCATGAAAGCCTTCACTGAATAATTCTAAATCTGATTAGAAAGTGAATCAAAATTCAAGTTTGAGAAATTAACTTCCCTACGAAGGCAGCAAAAAAGAAATCACGCTGCTATCCTTTCTTATTAAACACCTATGAATAATCTACAATAAATATTTTTAGAGACATTGCAGAAGCTTTTGCATTTTATCTGGGAAATAATTTATTCAAGCTTTTTAATATCGGCTTTCTAATCAGTTACAGCTCAAGTAAAGAGTGTAACTAGTTACTTAGGTATATCTTTTTCCTTATCCTACTATATAAAGAGTGCATCTGTCCTCTTTATTGTGACTTTTAAAACATTCCGACTATTTAATATTTAATCCATGTTTAATAAATTTTAAACATATTATTCAAATGGTAATCAGAATGCATCGTTATTTATTGTTTACCGCTAGTGACACCCACGGGACTTGCTTTCTGAGTTGTTGAAGTAGATGTAGTAGTAGTAGCAGTAGTAGTAGTAGTAGCAGTAGTAGTAGTAGCAGCAGTAGTTGTAGTAGTAGCAGTAGTGGTAGTAGCAGTAGTAGTAGTAGCAGCAGTAGTTGTAGTAGTAGTAGCAGCAGTAGTAGTAGTATCAGCAGCAGTTGTGGTGGTCACGCTGGTATTGATAACATTGGATGTAGTATTAACAGAAGTAGAGGGAGCAGTTGTTGTGGTCGTTAATGGACTTTTTGTAGTCGTAGTGAGAATACCTAAAACAGTATCTACTGTATTGCCTACTGTAGATAGTAGATTTGTCGACCTTACTAACGTGTTCACTGGTGCTGTTGATACTGCCGTCGTGGGCATCGTCGATACAACTGTCGTCGTTGTCGGTGCCAATATTATTGGGATCGTGGTCACGGGTGTTATTGTTGCAGCTGTCGTTGACAGTGTTGATGCTGCAGTCATCTTCGTTGCGGAGGTTCTTGTTGTAGTTGCCGTGGTCACCGGAGTTGTTGAGACTGTCGTCACCGCAGGCGATTTCACAGTTGTCGTTGTTATAGGTGTTGTTGTGGTTGTCATGACCGTGGAAGTCGCGGTGGTGTCTGTTGTCAAAGGTACTGTGGTGACTGTTGTGTTTGGACTCATCGTGGCCGTTGTTGTCAATGGTTCTGTTGCGGATAATTTTGTTGTGGTTGTTGGGGGCATGGAAGTCGTCGTACTGGCAGTCGTCACAGGCGCCGTGGTGACTGCTGTAGTCGCGGATGTAGTTTTTGTATTCAACGTCGTCACTGGCGTTGTTGTTGTGACTGTCATTGCCGCGGAAGTCGTCGTCACGGGTGTTGTTGTGGCTGTCGTTATCTCAGGTACTTTTGTTGTGGTTGTCGTGATCATGGGAGTCGTCGAAGTGGCTGTTGTCACAGGTGCCGTGGTGACTGCTGTAGTCGCGGATGTGGTTGTTGTATTCAGCGTCGTCACTGGCGTTGTTGTCGTGGCTGTCGTTATCTCAGGTACTTTTGTTGTGGTTGTCGTGATCATGGGAGTCGTTGTAGTGGCTGTTGTCGCTTGTGCCGTTGTGGTAACTGTCGTCACTACAGGCGTTGTCGTGGTTTCCGTTGTTGTGGTTGACGTGGTCACAGGAGTTGTAGTGGTAGCTATTGTTGTTACTGGTGTTGTCATTGTAGCCGTCGTTAACGCTGGTGTAGTCATTATTGTTGTCGTGGTCATTGGTATCGTTGTTTCGGTTATGGCTGAGTCTGTTGCAAGTACTGATGTCGTAGGTGTGAGATTTGGAACTGCTCCATTTGTTTCCGCCACCAGTATGCTCGGTTTTGTTGCTGAATTAACAAGAATATTTTGAAATATATTATTAGCCCGTAAATCAAAATAGCTTTAAATAAAAATTCCGATTGCTAAAATTGTTTTACTTTACAATTCATTATTTTTGTGAATGAAATTCCAAACATTTAGATTATTTGTCGAAAGAACTACTTTCGAATATATCTCGTTATTTTTCGCCTAAGGCTTGATATAAAATTGAAAAACAACTGTTTAACATGTATGAACGTCAGCAATTCATCCTGATATCCAGCTTTTATAAGAGTTTTGTGACAAATAATATGGTATTAGAATAGTAATGTGCTTTGTTCAGTGTTCCAAAGAAACGGTGATATTTATTTAAGTACATTTGTCTAGAGAAATTAAAATGAAAGTACATCTCAATTCAGAATACCACTAATGTGAACATCATGAAAATCACCAATATTCCCCAAATTATTGTGTTCTTGATTGGCGAAATCGTTCAAAATTGATGATAATACAGAAACTATAATATTAAAGATAAAGTTACACGACATGAATATTTTTATTTTTACAAAATATCCATACTGTAAGTGACGAATATAACGGTGTTATATATTTCCCAAGTAGACTGGAACAATCCTCCCATTTCAGTCGTGTTGGTGGACTAAATCAAATTCTGTCTGAAGAAAATGTGGTTACCTTTAGCGAGCTTTGAATGATTATCAGATTGATGCTTGTTGAATATTAAATACCACAATAGTTAAATACAACAAGAAGTAAGACCAGGAAGTTATAAAACTCAAATTAAAAAGTAAAAGCATTAAATAAAGACTAGAAAACATAAATGTTGAGTCATTTATAATTTTTTAAAAGGTACAGATTATTTATGGCCAAACTGAACTGTATGAGTTCTCTCTTAGCAAGAAATCATGGAGTAAGAGCGAAATACACAGACTATTTCGGCACGTAAAGCTGATTTTGTTTGCGAAGACTTCAGATGTTTGCAAGAAATGATGCAATGGGGTGTATTTACAAAAATCCATGAACCTGTGTACTGTTGAATAGTTTTTCAGTAAGATATGACTTCCGTTTGCATTAAAATTTTCACTTAGAACTGGTCAAGAAACTGTTTCCCTGCTATTATCCATTTCCACATAAGATTCCTTTTAGTAGTTCTTTTTTCAAGAATGAATGTGCTTGGATTTCCATCATTTCCGGGTAATGTATTTCCATCCTGTCGATTGTAGTCTAATTAAATGTAGAACAGGCTGATTTCAGACAATTAATCTTCCAAACACAGAATGTTCATACAATTTCCAAATTAAGCGAAGCTTATTAATCAAATTCATATTTTATAGTTAATCCAGAATCAAGCAAAAATACTGGTGATTTGACCTTTTGTGTGAGCTGCTGCTGTCCCAAAATAACCGGAAACATGTGTATAAATTTCGAGATATAAGGAAGAAGATTATAATTCCGTTCAAGTGGAAATTGAACCAAGAAGAGTTTAGAAGATTAAGAATATTAAAAAATATGTGGATATAAAAAGTGAATAATCGATGAACTTTTTACATAGACGATGCACTGCGATGTAATATATAATGTTCTATTCATTCGTTACAATAGGACATGGAACGGATGCATTTGTGATTGTTTCACAAGATTCTAGCAACACAGCCTGAAATTTTCAATTATCTGTTCAAATAACATCAATCAGGAAATTGTAATCTCCTTATACAGCTTAGACGGAGGGTTTACGACTTTACGAATTCATCAAATATTTTGGTACATTCACCACGCTAAGGCATATAATAAAATGAATGATAGTTGGATGGTGACTAGCAGTGGAATTCAGGATGCGCGTTTCGTCCTATTCGTCACTCGTCAGCTGGATGTGCCTGCATTCTCCAGTGAGTGATGATGTTCCCACCGAGACTCGAACCCAGTGACCATAGTTTCAAACGCCAAAGCGTTATCCTTTAGACCACTTGGACCACGAGAGCCACCTCTTGTGCAACAGGTCATATTAATTATTTAATTAAATTTTAGATTTTCCCGTCGATTGACTGGACCTGAGACCGAGCACTTCGGTCCAATCAATCGAGGAGAAAATCTAAAATCCAATTAAATAAAATGAATGATAGTTTCAATAGCGTATCTCATTATTCAAGCAGGTTAGTCTCTAAAGCTTGGTCATTGAACCGAAGGCTAAACATGAAACTGACACTAATTGGACATATATATAGTAGCTGGTAAGCAATAAATAAAATCAAGATGTTTCACCAGTCCAACGAATAAATAAAAAAGGCCACAGCGTGATTAGCATGCTCTGAGTCTTCATAATAACATGCTTAGATTGTATTCTGAATTGTAGTTTTATGACTTATATTTAAAATGTGAAGCCTTAGTTAAGCTTAGTTCACATGTTATATGGCATAAATTAGAGATTTTTACTGAAATGAAGTGATAAAACAGCCATTTTAAAGCAGAATCTGTTACATGAACACAAAAGCAATCGATACATATTTCAAGTTGGCATCATACATTTTGAATGTGTTTTCACGGACTGAATTTAATATCCCTATCAATGGGATTCGTATAGTTTCCTAACAGAACTATGCTAAAAGACAATCACTCATTAAAGTTGAACGTGCATCAGTTTGTTTCGGTAAGCAAATTTAGAAAGCTACGAGATACATAATTCTGATGTATGTAAGCAGTCCGCATCCATTGACAACAAAAAGTGGTGCTCGCAAGCCCTGTTTTGCTTCTCCATTGTCAAGTTCTACAGCAGTTAGGGAGATAATTTTAGCCCCAAATGAATTTAGGAAGTCGTGTGATCAACTTGATATGATTATGAGCAATAAATTGTGCTCGAAACGTCATCAGTAAATATTACTGTATAACACTGTGAGACTCTATAAAAATAAAAAAAAATTTACCCATAATGGAATTACACTCTACCACAGTGCCCAAGTTTTATTCTTATATCAAGATAATTTTAGCCCAGATACACACATTGTATTAGGCACCACAATCATGAAATGGCTTATGGCTGCTTAACCCAAGCTGTTCTTAATGAGCATCATCCTCGTTTCATCTCTCTAATTTTTGTCTATTCAAACCAGTCAATAGTATGAGCGAAAATTCAACACAAAAACAAACACAAATATATCAACTGTGAAAACTTTTTATTAGTGCCTCTGTTCCTAAATACGATACAAGTGATTCAAGTGTCACAATTCAACTGACTTAAAATGCTGCTGCGGATTCACTTTACTATTATTTCACATTTAAATATGGAAAATTAATAAAGTTCAAAAACAGCTCATGATGAAGTGGACATCTTAATTCTACACTGGTCAGCACTCATTAGGATGCTGATTTTTATAAATATATGAAGGAAACTAAGTTTTTTGCAACCCAAAGTAAATAAATTTTCATGTTCCCATATATAGAGACAGGGTAAATTTGGTGGAGAAACTATCAGTTGGCTTAGATTCCTATTTTAAGAAAGTAAGCTTTCTTATCACAACATTGGTAAGTAGGACAGACTAATACGGAGTGGCTTCATTGCATATCTCCTCTAATCGTAACATCGTAGTCCATTGCTATGGTGGTTTAATCACAAGTTATATTTTTTGTATGCAGTTTAAAATGTTTTTCTGGTGTATATAGTGTCAGTCGTATTATTTAGTTGAACTGAGTTACATATGCTTCACTTTTATCAGAAAAGGTTGCTTAATACTGATATCTGCGCAATGCAATCAATTAAAGGAGGCCGTAAGTTTTAAAAATTAGATGTATATTACTGAATTTTCATGAAATCATGCTGGTACATTTTGACCAATTCACTAAAACGCCCTAATACCCATGAAGTAAAGATGCCATTATAATCACGGTCGCAGTACTTACTTCGTTCAAAATTATATTTGAAGAATGATATGAACTCTGTCAACGCATCAACCTATAAATATTACCAATCATAAAAATGCCCTTCAAAACAGAATATATTATGCGTAATTATTCAAAGAAAACTTTGTCACTTACTGGTTGTCAGTATCTCATCTAAAATAAAAAGATCAGAAGGAAAAATTTAATACGAGAAATTAATTAAATGCTACACATAATTTATAAAGTTATAATGCAAATAAACTAATCAGTGCCTACAGACGCTGTATCAGTAAGTATTTATCCCTGAAACAGACTATATACAATACACTTTCGGAAGTGAAGTTGGTAGTACAGTAGTTTACGCATACCTATTAGCAAACAACCATCACTTGTTAAAAATGGTGACTACATGGAGAAATATTTAGTGCTTTTCTTCCTTTCTACATACATGTGAAATAGACTGAATAATTAAGAAATATAATCAGAGAAAATTAGGTTAAAGTGTTTAAAGATCACAAAGAAGTAATAATAATAATAATAAAGAAGTGAATTCAAGGCAGTTCAAAGGAATCATTTTCATCTTTTCCATTCCATTATTTTGTGTAGGAGAGAAATCTTCGGAATGAAGTCATTGCATAATTCAGTTTCACATCAGGTCTTCTTCGTAATCCTGAGTTTTCTTCTATAAAAATACAGAAAGGAAAATAAAACGTTAGATCTTCGGTAAATTCAATTTAGACTACTGCTACACAGGGAAGTGAAGTTTTATAATATTATTAAAGATACCTGTTGTGTGTATTTAATTGCAATGTGATTGGCTGAAATAAGCTCATTATTTTTCAACATTAAGATTACGCTGAAATTTTATTGGATATCTGAACACATCTGAAAAGAAATAAAATTACATGTTCAAAGGTCATTTAATTTTGATTGTTGTCTGTCAACAACAGAAGAACATGTTTTCCACCTGTAGAAAATTTACTATAAAATAAATGTTTCAAAAACAAAATATAAATAACTATGCAATATATGTTAGGTAAATACAAATATTATGCTCCCCTAGAATATAACAATCAGGTTTCCATGTTACTGAACAATATGTATGAATTGAAAATCATATGATTAGTTCTTTTATGAAATCAGGTGCCCTTAACGTCCACTTAAGGCATCTGTAAAGTGAATACAAACCCTAAGAACTCATAAACAATGGTGAGAGTAGGCAGATATCTTGAGAAAAATTGAATGGAATAAAACTTTTTAACAATAATTTCTGTATATTTCTCGGCTTGGAAATCAGTTTTAAACAAATAAAAAACGTATTTTTTGAACTTATGGAAAGCTAGCAGTAACTAAAAAGATTATAATCATCTCATAGTATTTCAAGTAATAGAAATATCTACTAGATGTAACGAATATTCATTCCTGAAGGAGAGCCAAACATCAACATAATTAACTTTATAATAGATGCGTTGAGTGATTAAGCAGTCTTGATTTTGACAAGGTATTTCACTGATCTAACCGACTATAAAGTTACAGATTTTTAAGCTAGTTGATAAAGAACTATCGAAAACGTTTCGCTGTACAGAAGATTACTTTTCGATAAAAATGGTTATTGCGAAGTAGTAAATTTCACGGCATTCATGTTTGACTACACAATAATTTACACACACACGCACAGGTTTTTAATTTTAGTTTAATTGGTATCATGAATTTCTAAATTCGATCCCACAAAGAATAGGAATAGAAACTTTCCATATCTGTATGTAGATGCAATAATTCATACACTGAAAAACACTGATCAGAGTGGGTTTTTCTTTCAGTGAGTTAGATTATTAAGGTCACGCGAATGTTTGTTACTAGTTAAAAGTTCTACCTTGGGCTTTTCGTAAGACGATTCGATTGCACAAAAATACTCAACATCTGCTGAAAAATTGTTTCCAAATATGGACACTTTGACAGTGACTTAAAGTTAACATTAATTGTTGGTGGCTAGTAGACTAAAACACTATGCCTGTTTCACCCTCTTGAAAAACTCATCAGCTAGATACTGATAATCACTTCACAAGAGGTGGTTCTTTTTGCTCACTGGTCTAGTGAATGACGGTTTGGTGTCTGAAACGAAATATTCTGAATTACAGTCCCAAAGGGTGGCACCACTACTGACCTAGAACACAGGGACATCCAGCTGACCAGCTTCAAGCAGGACATCCTGGATTCTAATGCTGACCACCATCAATCAAATGACATGAAGTTATTACAAGCTGTTTTAAGTTTCACTTTTTGATTTGGAAGTACTATAAAGTTATCTTCAGCAATTCATTACTACAGGAAGTGATGCCTAAACTTCCAATTGTTAAATTTCTTTCACAAAATGCACTCTTCTTTCTTGAAGCAGCGCTCCATGCTATTTAACTTTTCACTCTGCTTTAATTAATACATACATGCATATGTGCTGTTAACTAACTCTACTAACTAATAAAGTAAACAGCTGGTATTCATTTATCCTGTCGATCGTTCATATATGCACTACTTTTGTAACTGTTAGGTGGTAACTAGTAGTGAGATCGGGAACACTTGTTTCTTTCCTTTTGGGACTAGGCAGATGCGCATACCTGTAATAGCATTTATCGTGTAAAGTCTTTAGAATTCGACATCACACTGATGAGTAAGAACAACTACCTTTCCTTAACTTAAAAGTGAAATCAAAGCAGATAAAGTGCTAATACAATTTTTTTATGTTTCAGAAAAAAGTAACATAAAAAATTTACTTAGGCACTGGTTCTCAGGGATTTGTTCAGTTTCAAGTTAGATCAGTTAGATAACTATTGAAAATCGGACAGCTGTTTCATCCTAGTTTCCAAAGGTTCAGCAGAACGTACCTATAACTCCACTGGAGATCGAACCCGGGACCTTCAAGTTATGAGATGAGCCTATTGATCATCAAGCCATGAATTCTAACTTCTGCCACTTCTCAATATATGGCACAATAGTCAGCCAGTGTCATCGACGAGTATCTGCCCACACACCCGATATGGTGAACCCAACTGCTTGGTTTTTAGTGGTTCTCAGACCGATCTTATTCCATTATCTAACCTGAAATCAATCAAATCACTAGAAGCCAATGCTTGAAAACTAAGAATTTGTAGGCCATTTGGCTTATGTTCCCTTAATTACATGACACGGAAATTCATCATAAAATCAAAATTAATCTAATGTAAATTAATGACCGACTACAGAATGATGCTGTCTAATGTTCCATTGAGGAATCATGACTAGTGGGCTGTAAGGAGAGATACTCTACTGTGACAGTGACTGAAGATGAAGTAATACATCAGGAATCGATAGGACTTAGAGTTTATGACTGGATGACCAGTAGTCTCTATCTGTAATCTGAAAGTCCTAAGTTCTATGTCTGGTGGAGTAACGGGTTCATAATGCTGAAGGGATCCGAATTTTGACGAAAAAGGATATCCGGCAGTTCTTGGTTTTCAGTGGTTCCCTAACTGATATCATTTCGTGATCCAGCTAACACTTTTAACCTCACAAAAATGTAAACTGTCTAAGTATTCCCATGAAATCATAGATCTCAGATAATACATCACTGGCGCCTTAAAATTAAATTAGCACTCACTATTGCCTGTTGTGCTCTTTTATGGCTCAGTAAGGGAAATTTATCAACTAGAAGAGTATAAACTTCTGTATGATGTGAAGTAACTTATACGGATGTAAAGTTTAAATTAACGAATGTGCTTCTGAGTTCATCATACACACAAATTTTAACCGGTATATGAGTTTAGACAGAATGTGACGAGCATACATTAGAGTGAAAGCACCCATTCATTACTGATTTTACTGAGTATTCCTCTTTAGTATCATCAGTCCGATCCCTGAAGGATCAGGGAAATAAATGGTGTTTGTCCGGCTTATTTTTTTTTCATCACTAGTAGCTTCTTGGATGTCACTAAACTGCCCACAAAACTCCTAATTAGATCAATTTTGTTACAGTGGTTCGTCATTTTTATATTGCAGTTTATGGAAAGTGTTCAAATAGTCCATTTAATTTAACAGGAATAAAAATCATTTTGAGGCAAGCATAACATTCATTTCCAAGTATAGAATGGTCATCAAAATTACATAAAATAATATATAAATAACCAAAGGATTTCGAAAATTCTGTGAATATTCTGATAGAAAGATAGGAAATCAAACATACAATGTAGACAGACAGTTTTATTCTGTGCCAAATCTAACGAATTGACACGGTTTAAAAAATCAAGTGAATGGATATGTAGCACCTGGCTGAAGATTGTGATGAAAATTCCGTTAAAACAGCTATAAAATTAGCAGTTCATATAAGATGTTTATAGATGCTTCATTTTAACAGCTTTAGCGTGTTTCAACATTTTGTTATAGTGAAACACTATAAATATGAATAGACGTTTGCTCTAAACGATTTTAAATGTCAGCATCGCATAAACTACCAGAAAAGTCACTACAGATTACAAATTTTGATAACTACTGAAGCTTTAGCTACAATCTCTAAAATATTTCCAAACATAAAATATAACCTCTTCTTTCTATATTTTAATGCATAAGAGTAATTCAGTGAATGAAAGTAGAAGTATCATTAGAAAATTGCTCATTTTGGTAAGTAGATGGTTTATTCCAGACTAAATTAGTCACTCACAAGATAAGCCACTTTAGTTTTGTGTTTTAGTCTCTTTTTAATCCAACTATCTATAAAAAAACAAAGCGTAGGAAACCAAACAGATGTCTTATAAGACATTTCATACTTAGTATTTCTACTACAACTTCTCATGTCCTAATCGATAATATCTTGTACTGTCATCATTGTTATGCATGCAGCTTCTTTTTACGATGTTATTCCAGAGATTATTTCTGTGGATGATTTGTTTGTAGGGCTGAAAACGACTGCTGTCAGAATGGTAAATGCTTTCCAAGTTTTTAGCATGTACATATCTTTTACTATTCTTATATCCGAGAAACTGGAACTACCATTCGACTGACGTTCTACTTTAATTTACATCTTGGCTCACTTCGATATTAAAACTAAGCATGCGAAAAGCTGTTCTAATATTATCACAGATAACAGATATTTAATTATCATATCTTATAAAGAATACTGTAGCATCATACCTATGCTTCGTATAATCTTGTTTGGGAATAACATAGTGTTTATTGTATGAAAATGTTGAAAAAGATTATTAACTCATTCATCTGTCTTTTCAGAACTTTTATGCCTGCACAGTGCAA